ATTTGCTATAGGTGTTACTATCCTTATTGTAAAGCTTTTATAAGTGACTGCAACCTGGCACTTTATACAACGAATCAGAATGCTCTTATTCTTTTTATACACGAGGCATTGAGAATACATTTAAGAAGGTAGAAAAAAGGTCATTTCAAAGCAACTGTAAAACAGTTTAGGAGGTGGACTGTTTTTGAAACAAGGAATTTGCAAAAGCAATTAGGTTACTATTTTAAAAGTCTATGGACTTTCTGGTTGGCTACATCTAGCTTTTTCTGTCCTTTGTGAAATGCTGGTGGAAGAAAGGACCAGACAAGAAGCATTAAAAGGAGTTACTGTGGGCTAACAGCTGAGGATGACGAGAGATTAAGCAATGTCGTCTGTGCATGTAAGGAGCAGAGAGCAGGACCAGGAACTGAAGGAAAGAGAAGCGGATGGATGGTGGGATGGGTGCTAAGAAGCCGTTAATTATCTAAGCAGGCTTCTACCTGGAAGAACTGCTGGGGATGATTCCAAAACAAAGTCCTCAAGATGAAACTTTGATTAGTATTCAAGATGAACAAGAAACAGGAAAAAGTAAGGTATGCAAGGAATTCTACTTGTTTTATCTAATCCATGGGAAGAGCCAGGGGAAAATTAAAACATAAAGGGATATCCAGACAGGAGGCTGAAATGGGTGGCTCAGAGCCAAGAGTTAAGTTTAATAAAATGTTGAAAATCATTAGCAGGCGTTAAGTCTTGAATAATCAGGTCATCCCGTTTAACTTAATATCTGCTACCAACTTGAACCTTAGGACAGATGTCAACTATTTTCTAACAAAAACACAGTCCAGTCAAATGTAATGAAAACATGGTGTTCCGGTCATTAAATTAGGAAAAATGAGGTATCCACTGTATCAAGAATCGTTAACACAACTAGGTTAATTATATATTGTTTGTATAATTATATACATTTATGACTGTAAAAAATCTGTGATGTCTTTTGAGTTATGCTTCACAAAACAGGTGCGCTAATATAAAACCATACAGCATTTTGCACTATAGTTTTCAAAATTTTTTTAATGAGGAACCTCTTAGAAGAATTCTGAGAAATTGTTTACTCCTTGAATATTTTGAGCATTTAAAAGTTTAAATAATCTCAAAAGATGTCGTTTCTAGAGTACATTCCAATGTAAAAACCAACATTTCAACATCTTTTCGTTGTCACTTGAATGTTCTGTCTAAAGCATCTGTTCTAGTTTCATGGATAGAAAATCTTTTCTCTCTCTGAGGAAAGTGATAGTTTTTTGTTTTTTTGGAAGTGGGAGGGGTAGGTTCTCCTAGCTATACATACTTGCCCTTTTTCCTGTTTGTTTTGGTGTCTCAGTTCCCCCCAAGACTTTCCCTTGGTGTCTGGTGCTCCAGGGGTAGTCTGCTTTATGACTCAGACAAGGTCTAGAACACTGTTGGAGAACCTGGAGCACAAAGAAGGCCTTTTTGTTTGAAATTCCTGATTCACTGATCTGATGCAATCCCTGGTGTTACTCTCTTTGTGTGTTTTTTTTTTAAAGATTTATTTATTTATTTATACAAGCACTGGGTACAGTCAGAAGCGCGGGAGGGTGAGAGAATTCACCAGAGCCAGAGCGGGGAGCAGAGCAGGCAGAGGGACCAAAGTACACTGCTGAGGGGAGCAGCGGGCGGCAGGAGAGGTCTGTGCGCCAAGTGGGACCCTCCTCCGGTGGCCGGGGAGCAGCCGGGGATCGAACCTGCGCTGCAGAGGCTGCGGGCAGCTTCGCAACCCAGCGCTCAACTGCTGCGCCACCGGGAGGCCCACTATCTTTGTTTTTTTCTGCTTCACTAGTAAAATGCTTCAGAGGTGACCCTTTCATCTCCTGCCTGGAGGGCCAAGTTCAATTGCTAGTATTCTGGGAGGCAATTAAGAGTGCTGGGGGGCCTACCCGGTGGCGCAGCGGTTGAGCGCTGGGTTGCGAAGCTGCCCGCAGCCTCTGCAGTGCCGGTTCAATTCCCGGCCGCTGGCGAGGGTCCCACATGGCGCGGAGACCTCTCCTGCCGCCCGCTGCTCCCCTCAGCAGTGTACTTCATCACTCTGCCTGTTCTACTCTCCGCTCTGGCTCTGGTGAATTCTCTCAACCTTCCGCGCCTCTGACTGTACCCAGTGCTTGTATAAATAAATAAATAAATCTTTAAAAAAAATTTAAAAAAAAAAAAAGAGTGCCGGGGACCTTTGCATTTATCACTCAGTAAGTAGCCTCTCACTCCCCTTGTCTCAGGTAAAGGATTCATTTCCATTTTTCCAGTCCAGAGAGATTTTTTTTTCTCTCTTCCAGAGAGTGGATTTCAGTCTACTGCTAGAGTAGGAATGGGCAATCACCAGTAGCAAGGAGTAGGAGGTGGGATTGAGAGATGCTTTCATACATATCTTTTCATTTATGTAGCCCTACTTCCCCCAGAGAAACATGGTACTGCCAATTTCTGAGACTTTAGGATGTTATGGTATAAATCAGGTTTTTATTTCCCCATTGCTAACAAATGATTTAGCTTTGGGACCTACTATTAAGTCCACTATCACTTCGCCATCTGCTTTCCAGATTTTAAAATGTTGTTGCTACTGATTCCTTTCTTATTTTCACCCTTACATGTCTATCCTAAAAACAAATTCCATTATTACAGTTTTAACGGAGTATCAAGGAAGAGCAAAAATCTGTTACCTTAACCTGAAGCCCACAAAGCCACTTTAATAAGAGGATTTTCAGTGTGTCAAAGCCTTCAGAAATGAAACATATACTGATATATTTAACCAGTTGTTATTGTCTGGTTATCTTTGGTTAATTTTAAGCTGGTAATAAAAAATATGCTCTTTTAGAAGGCTTTAAACTTCTCGTGTTATAAAAATACAATCTAGCATAAATCCGATGGGATGGTCTATGTTTATAGACAGTAATAATGTAGTGAGTTACTATTTTGGAGTAGATAATAGACCAAAAAAGTTTGCGCTTATAGCTCCTAACCTGTAAAACTATGGGAAAATGACTGCCTCTTCACCCTCAGGCCATAAAGTCATTCCAACTGCAGTGTTCTTTACTGCTACTTCTTGTCTCTAGCAAAGCTGGTACTGCTTTCTGAAAACAAGTCTTAATACGCTGTTTGTTGTCTCTGCTTAGAGCTAAAGTCCTTTCCTTTCCTTTCTGTTCTCTTACCATATCTGTGTCTATTTTTCCTTTCCTTGATATTTCTCAGCTTTGACATGAGAAGGATTTCATGTCACTCTTCTAGAATGTGAACCTATGAATAATATGCAGTTGTGTGTGATCATTCTTTCCTTTTTTTTTCCCCTTCATTTAACAAATATGTCCTGAGTACTTATCACAGGCCAGGCCCTATTTAGGCATTAGGGATAAGAGAAAGAAGAAAACAAAGCCCTTGTACTCACATAGCTTTTATTCTAGCAGGGTGACAGACAAGAAACAAGTATGTCATATGGAACTGGGTGCTACAAATAAACAAAAACAAGGACGGGATATTGAGAGTGGCAGGGTGGGGTAGGTATATACTACTTTTATAAAATGATCAGAGAAGGTTCCATTTGAAAGGTGACATCTGAACAAGTGAGCAGCTCTATGGATAATTGTGGGGTGAGTAATCCAAAGAGAAAATAACAAATACAAAGGCCCTGAGGAGGGAGCATACTTGGCCTGCTGAAGAAACAGCAAAGGGACTGGTGGGGTGGGTGCAGAATCGGGTCTGTTACTCTCTTAACATTTACTTTTTTTGCCCTGCTAGTCTTAAAAATATTTTAATATAACCTTTCAAATTGGAACAGATTCTGGTTTTAACTTATATGGAAAACTGATTTTTGGTGTTTTTCTTTTCTCTTTTTGAGATTGTTTCGAGTCTAGTGAAACTGTTTTCAAGTCTACTGAGTAAGATAATAATTTGTTGTATTATGCATTTTGGCTGGACACAGTTCTACAAATAATCTAATGAAAGAGCTACTGGCTATTTTAAGACAGAGAAGGTAGGACCATGGGAACATTTAAGGGCCAGATCTGGGTTTGAGTCCTGGTTCTATATGTACTTGCTGTAAGTGATCTTGAGTCAGAGTTGTAAATGCTAGTACATATAATCCTTTTATTCTAGTTTTATAATGTAAAAGCAGCCATAAAGTTTACTGGGTTGCATTTAAGTTAAACACCTCTAATGCCAATTATTAATATGTGTGTTTACTTTAAAGCCATGGTTTCCTTATCTGTAAAAAGAAAATAAAAATACCTACTTGTTAACATTATAAAAATTAAATGACTAGTAACCTATATATGTGGAAGTGATTTGTATACTACAAAAAAATGTTAAATTAAGACACACACATATTTTAAAACTACCCACAGAGTTTTCAAACATATTTAAGTTTTTCATCTAAGTGCTTCTGATATTTAATTTTACTTTTTATCTATTCATTTACATTTAAGATTTTATCCTTGTAAATCAGTTTTCTATTTAGGCCTATGATAAGTTTATAAAGTGACTTATCTTTAAATTACATAGCAAAATTCAATGGATATGAGCAATTCAACTTGAAATCCTCAAAAGGATCAGAATGCATATTTTCATTCTTTATTAACTAGTCATTTTGCAATAGAAAATATAGGACTGCTAAGTGAATAAATTAACTGTGGATAACTAAGAGTCATTTTATGTACTTCAGTAACTGTTCATGACTTTTTAGTTGTTTGACTTTTGTTTTCTGAACCTTCACTACTTAGTTCGTACATGCTAAATATAACTTTGTAGTATTATTTAGTATCAAATACTTGCTGTATGTTTTGAATACTGTACTAGAGAGACTTTTATTTCATAGTATAATATTGCTAACCATTAGTTCAAAATGTCCATCTATTGCTAGACAGTAATTTCAAAGGCAATCCAAAAGGACATTAGCTAAAATCTTTAAAACACTTTCAGTGGTTTTCAAAAGTAATTTACAGGAGGTTTAACAGAACGGAACTTACTCCATGCCCTGTGCAGTCTGCCTTGCAATATCTATAAGTTTGATCATCTCAAATTTGGTCTCAATGATGTGGAGATGATGATACAAGCTGGAGCCCTCACACCACTGGGTGACAATAGCCAGTTGTGGCTTTGTTGAGTAGCCCATGAAGAGTAGGATATTCACATGTCGAGTTTTCCTGTAAAAAGAAACGTGACATGACAAAGAGTAAATGTCAGTAAACCTTGTTAGTGAATCTTCAAAAAGAGGGCCAAAGCAGTCTATCAGTCAGATGTTATTATAAAAAGATATTAAAAAAAAAAAGGATAAATTTAAAAGGCTTTAAGAAATATCTAGCCTAACATCTCAGTCTTTTCAGAAATACCTTTTTAAACAGACCTGACAGGTAACTAGAAGCTTAAATGCCTTCAATTATGGGAAGCTCATCACTGAAACTATAGTTATTTCCCTCATTTTTTTTTTTTAGTGTTGTTCTAGTATTAGAAAGATATTTTTGGGTTGAGAACAAATAATATCCTACAATTCCCACCTCTGTTTTCCCTGTCCTGGAATAAAACAGAGTAGGGTTTGTACTCTCTTGAATTTAAGAGCTTTCTACAGAACAAATATCCTCAATTCTATTAACTACCTTGCCCCAAGTTAAAATCCTAAAACCCTAACCCCATTTGGGCTGCCCTTGCCTGGACTGACTTTAGTTTTAATGTTCTTCAAGTTCCAGGGCTTGGCACAATCACTAAATGTGATAAGGTTAGAATTTTGAGAGTATTGTGTTTCCATACTGGAAGTATTATTTCTCATGATCAGAGAAAAATTCCAGGGTTAGTTCTTTTATCAGCTATACTATGATATAATATACACACCACTTAAAAGACTATAGCTAAAGACAAGTTTATTTTACACATTTTGAATAACTCTATAAAACTACAAATGGCTATTACTGGAAAACACTTTCCCTCTCTGTAAAAGAATAATTCACACAAGCTCACCTGAGTACTCCCACTTCATTTTTGAAGGCCTGTAACTGCTGAGGTGTGGGTGCTGTCACATTCAACATTTTTACTGCCACATCACCTAAAAGGTAATTGTCATTACAAATGTCACTTCTATTTTTTTAAACTTAAAAGTATTAAAAATTCTTGGGTATTTTCAGTCTAAATTTCTATCATTATTAAACAGCAAATAAATTATATCTTAACTTCCTAAACTGTATTAATTTTCTAAGGATAAAAAATAAACTAATAATGATATTCCTACACTAATATTTCAAAATACCAATTGCAAAAACAGTCAACCTTATTTTTATCCTCCAAATCTAGTTTAACCTATTAAATACCCACAGTATTTTCCTGGTTACTTAATAATATTACATTACATTTGCGAATTAAATGCCAAAAATACAGATGACCGGTTCAAAGAAGACTGGCTTTAATAGAAAACTGAAAAATTTTTATCAAAGTAGTTAACATTAAAAAAAAAAACAAAACTCTACGGATAACTTGTATTGCTTCTGCTTAAGAAAATGTCTTAAATTGTAATTATAATAAAAAAAAGTTAACATGAAACAGGTAGAACTTATACACTGCCAGTAGTTATGTAAACTGGCATTACCATCTGTAATATTGCTGACAACAGTAGGTACTAAAACCAAACATACAACATATACGAAATTGGCCCCACAATTTTTTTCTTAGGTATATAACCCCCTAAAATGGATAGATATGTCCATCAAAAGATAGTACTAAGAATATTCATAACAGTAGCATTTATAACTGTCAAACTGGAAACTATTCAAATGTTCACATAACAATAGAAAGGAAAAAAATTATGTTTCAGTCACACAGTGGACTACTACAAAGAGAATGAATGATGATCAACTATACTTAACAATATAGATGAACCTTTTAAACATTATTGACTAAAAGGAGAGTCAAACACAAAAGAGACTATATGGTAAAGTGAAGACAGTGGTTACTGAAGGTAACGGAAGCGTAAGGAAACCTAAAGTGCCAGTGATGTTTTGTTTATTGAACACAGATATGTCCATTTTGAGAGGTCAACAATTTGTACATGTATGTATATCTTTTCAAATGTATATTATACTTGGATCGTTTTTAAGTGAACTTAACTGATTTTTCTTGATTATTAAAGTCATAGGTCATAGTAATAAACATTTTCAATGTATAAAGAAAAATAATTAAAATTTTTCATTACCATGTCACTCAGAAAAGACCCTTGTTAATACACTGATGTATAATCTATGAGGCTTTTATATGTATGCAATGTGACTATGCAACTAGTAAGGCTGAAAATTTATGAATACATGTAAAAAGATAAGCTAAAAAAGATACATGCTAAAATACTAATGACTGCTTTCAAAATCACGGTAAATGTATTTCTATATAGCACCATGTTATGGGATATTATACACACTGCTTTGTAAAATTTAACATTCCATAGGTACCTTCCATATCAATAAATCCCCCATTAATTGGCACTTAATGTCTATTTCCATTTATCATTAATATTAAATTCACTTGCAACACACATCTGTTTGTTCCTCTGCAATTACTTTACCATTATAAAGTTCTACAAACTGAACTGTTTGCTCAACATGCATACTGTAAACTTCCCTCCAGAACATTTGTAGCGGATCACTTTCCCACCAAGGCACTACAATCACAACTTGAAATATCAATTTTAAAGACTTTTTTCATTTGAGAAAAACAATGATTTCTATATTCTGAATTTGTAATTCTTTTATCACTTGTGAAACTGAACCTTTTTTATTTGATTACTAATCATGTCTGCCTTTGGTAGGATCACTTCTAACATGTTTATTTGTGGTTTATGATACAAATTAAACTATAGGCAGAATGACTTCTAAAAGGAAGGAAACCATTTTGGGAATCAGATCAACTGGAAGATGATCTTTAAAAATCATTACTGTAATGTAATAGGAATCCTGGTTGCTGAAAATCCAGTTTATTTTTTATTTTTTTTTTTTTGTGGGACCCTCGCCGGCGGCCGGGGAACAAACCATCGCTGCAGACCGCGGGCAGCCTCGCAGCCCCGCAGCCCAGCGCTCAACTGCTGCGCCACCAGGGGAGGCCCTGAAAATCCAGTTTTAAATTTTTATTTATTCATTTTTTTAAAGATTGATTTATTTATACATACAAAAACTGGGGTGTGGGCCAGAGGTGAGGAGGTGAGTGGATTCACCAGAGACAGAGTGAGGAGCAGAACAGGTGAACTGACTGAAATACACTGCTGAGGGGAACAGCGGGTGAGACAGGAGAGATTTTCTGCACCATGTGGGTTAGCTCCCTGGCCAGGGATCGAACTCATGCTGCAATGGCTGTGATAGCTTGATAGCACTGTGTCTTTAATTCCTGCATCACCAGGGAGGCTCCTGAAAATCCAGGTTTTATTTTCCATAATTTTTATTAGAAATCTTTGTAGAATTCTTGCATTTGATAAAAATAGTTTAATGACATAAACAATGAACTTTTTGACTTTATTTTACAGAGACTATGAAAGAGATACTGCTATTGTAAGTTGTGTTGTCACAAGGTGACTGTAGTACATACATACCATGCCACTTTCCCTTGTAGACTGTTCCAAATGACCCAGATCCAATTCTTTGTCCCACTGTGATCTGCCCATCAGGAATCTCCCAGTCATCACTGGAGTCACGTCTACCAAGAGTTTTCTTGATAAAAATAGGGCAAAAGTCAAGATAAAGCAAATAAATGGGGGAAAGCCTTATGCTGCACACTAGAGGTACCCTCTATGCCTAAAAGGGATGTTAAGTTAGGGAGATAATAAGACCTGTTAAAACAACAAATCAACATTCTGGACAACTAAAGGAAATAGTCTTACAATACAGAACTTAAACTTCAGACCTAAGTCAGTATTAGGATCGAAACAGTTTATTAAAATTTATTTACTATGAATAGAAATGTATATTACTAAAGTCAGTTAAAAAAAGGTCTTTTATCATTTGGAGGACTATCGGGGCCAGGTGAGTGCTGAACATGTGTGTGATTAATTTTGACTTGAAAGTCAAAATCCCAGCCAGTGCTAAATTTCTTCATATGTCTTATCTAGCCCAGTCTCTCAAAATAAATAAATAATACTACATAAATGCTTTGGTAATGTGAAAGACCCACCCATCCGACAAACCTATCCAATAAACACCATTATTAAAATTATTACCTCAGAAAGTTAGCTTTCCTAAAAGGGAAGGAAAGTCAATTGGCAGACCAGCCTTTAAAACATGTCTAATCATGCTTCCTAAAATACTTGCTTACTATTTTCCCTTATTTTAGAATCAACAAAATATTTTGCCTTTAGTCAACTGTATTAGAGTGAAAAGCAAAAATCAATCTTGTGGGACTATATGATTTAAGCAAAAAATTATTCTTTAATTTGACTTTGTGAATTGTGTATCACATGTGTGTATTTATCATTATGTCAAAAGGTTACATTACATTTGGCTGAGACTTCTATAATGAAAATGACTTATAGGAAAAAAAGAAATCATTTCCTCTCACCATTCGATTCCTATCTTCTGAGGATGAAGATGATTTTCTTTCCCGCTGAGGTCCTGGAGATTTCTGTAATGCTTTCACATTAGTGAGTGAGCCAGGTAGTGAGGCAGGGGGGGTGGCAGACAAACCTGTGGTTGATCCTAAGTTAGTGAAAGAAAAAAATGCATCTATTAAAGTGGGATCAAGTATGTTAATTAGTTGGGGGCAGAGGGTGGGGAAAGAATTAGACTTACTTAAAAAAAATGCAATGCCTGTTCAAGTATAGACATTCTGAAAAGGACAGGCCCAAAAGAGGCTCCTTTGGTGATAAATACTGTAATTTCTTTAAGTTTTCTGCTAGTTTAGTGACCATTAAAATATTTGATTACAGAAACATATTTTACTTTTATAGTCTAGAAAAAAACAACAATCTCTCTAAAATAAGGTATTTAAAAATACTTCCAAGTATCTGTTTCTTTGATTAATAAGAAAGCAAAATCAATTTAAGTCTGATAAACTGGGTTACTTTATGTTATCTCAGTCAATATAAAGAAAGATGGAAAACCCTAAATGGAAACATAGCCTAACGATGGCCTTTATGCTGAAAATATCTGGCCTTTTCATATTAGCCACTAAAATTATTAAAAATCTTGTTCTATCAATATATGCCACAGTATTTAAAAGTAACAGGTATTGATCAGTTTTACTGGTTCCCAAAAGCTTATGCTACTAACAAAGATAATCTGTTACCTGCACAACAATGTTAATTTAAACAAAGCCAATTAAGATGTTCTGAAAAATCTCTGCCTTTATAAATGAGAGGAAAGTAAGTGCCATGACCTCTAAAGTTACCACAGATAGAAATACTCAAGTAGCCATGTGTGAGCCAAGGGGTCCACTCTCCAAGAGGACTCACCTGGCAGGGCTACATAACTTATTGATGGGGAACTTTTCAAATACTGACTCAGTGGCCAAAATCCTGAATTCATGTATATTAGGACCTTGTCCTGAGGGGTCAGGGCAATAACTCCGTAGTGGGCCCAGAGTAGGACTGAGATGTCAAGCAGTATTTGCACAGAAAGAATGAAAAGAGTGGAAGAAGATTATTAAAAACAAAAAAAAAAGATTACTATTCTTAGGGGAAGAGAAGTCACTATCTTTCATAGAATAGATACCAATGACAACATTTTGATGTCAAATCTGTAGGAATTTTATTATTACTATGTCATATATGTTACTAGTGGAATTTCCATATTGTCATATGAAGCTTTCTTTAAAAAAATGGTATCTGGAGTGTTTATTAAATAGAACACAATTCATTTTCTACCTTCCACTGATAATTCCCAACATCATAAAGACTGAACTGCTTGCCCAGACTTTGCAGTTCTAATCTATTCAGCACTACAGTGTACTATTTACTTCAAAGTATACTATTTACTACTGTATGACTTCCAGTCCATTCTATGTATTTTCTGGTAAGTAACCTAAGACAGCAAAAACCTCAAATACCACTACATTTAGAATAAATAACAGTAACTAGTAAGGGCAATAAAAACTACAAAAATATTTATAGCAAGACATTTGACTTAAATTTTTAAAAATCAGTTTAAGCACTAGTTTAAACATGGCAAGATGAAATGAGAATGTGAAATTACGCTGCTAAGTTTTACCTCATATTAGGGCATAACTGGAAGCACAAATCCTCAAATTTCTTGAAGTATGCTAAAACACCAAATATATTACAAATCTTTTAAAAAAGACCTACTTTTGATGTAAATATACATATCCTATTTTTAACAAAAACACTGATACTATAGAAAAAGGCCAAAAGTCTAGTAAAATGTCTTAATAGGGATTTCCAATTCCTTTTTTATTCCACAAAAACTGATAATACTAATAGTGATCACTTAAATGGATTAACATAAAAGGTATTCAGGTGGAAGGACCACCCCCACCCCTACATTATTTATTGCTACCCATTGAGTTAAAGAAATTATCAAAACACAAGATGGAAATCTTAGCCCAGATTTTTCTTGCTTATAAAAATTTATGACAGACAGCATACAGAAAGCTTGTGGTGGTGAGTATGTGTGAGAAGCACATTCAGAGCATTCCAGCCAGGCCAAGCAGAAATTTAGTACTGAAACTTTCACACTTACAAACACATGCTGTGAGGGTGAGGCACAAACAGTATCTGTAGTTTATATTTAGTTTGTTTTGGGTGAAAACGAGAAAGAAGAGCCCAACTACCTCTGAACACTGGGCCAGGCTCAAAATCAAACACTATTTCACTGGGGACAGAATGGAGGAGGGGGCTGGGAGTCCGGGATTGGTATTTCCGAAGACAGCGCATCAGCTGGTTCAAAGGGGCTGTTAGAAGAGAAAGAGAGGGGCAGGCAAACACAGGAAGACAGACACACAGAAGAAATGAAAGAAGTCATGGGGAATAAGTAAGATGAGTAGAAGCCTGCTTCACAAAATAATTCTGGATATTTAAAAAATTCTGCTATTTTCATAAAATCCCAATAATTTTAAAAAGGACAAGAAATGCCACTTGATTTTTGGCACTAAGCAGGCGGTTTTTATAACTATGATAACTCTGGGATGCTAACATGATGGCAACATTTAAATGCTGGATGTATTGGGCAAAATTATCAAAAGCCACAGCTATTAAGACATATGAAAGTCAAACTTGCAGCAACATTAATTGGTGGGCTCATGGAATAACAAACAAACAAAAAAAAACCCTTTAAAAAATGCTATGTGTTATATAAATACTATGTCCAGAGCACGTAATTCAGGGCTGTCATTGGTAGTTTCTCAGATATATAGAAACATGACAAAAATAGTTTATACAGTGTTTACTCGATATAAAATGTCTTTGAGTCTGGGCTTAAATATTTTGAAGATACAGGTCACAATGAAGAGACCAACTCTAACCAAGAGAAGAAGGTATTGCAGGGCTTCCTTACTAGATAAGAGATAGCTGAACAGGTAAGCACAGAGGACCACCTGGAAGAAAACTTCAAGATAGTTTCAAGTATCATCTCTTGGAAAACATATGGGGGTCAATTCTTATTTTAAAAGTATTCTCTTAAGTAATGTTTTCTTATGCCCTTAATTTTCACTGGGTTAGAGTAACAAATGAAAATTCTGAAAGAAATTTCAATTCAATGTCTCATTTACTTATTTAAAGTCACACAGGATGAGGGCAACTGGGTCTGTCTTTCTCTTGGGGTGTAGTCTATAAAATGTACATTTCAAATTTTTCTAGAAGGCTGGAGGAAAGTGGTTGAAAATGCTGACATACTGAAAGTTGTGGCAGGCAATCAAAAGGATTTTCCTCAAGAATAATTTAGGAAAGTAAAGATTTAAGTGAATCTAAGCTCAATCTTTTAAGTATTAGAGGAGGATCCCAAAGGAAATTTAGCAGCACCAGTCCTGGAGGTAGTTAGAAATAAAGTGGGTAAAATAATTAAGGCCCCCACACTGATAGCAACATTTTAATATTGCAGATAGTACATTTAAGACTCCCTTTTATTTCCTCTCTTCTTCTCTACTCATGTAATAAATTTTGGGTTTTCTCTACACATTTTTCTCTGTGTCTGTGTTTCATGAAAAAGCAAATATAAAGGAGACAAGCAGCAAAGCAATTGCATTTTCCCCTGAGTTGTTTTCTAATTTTAATTGAAATCACTACTTACCTCCATCACTACGAAACCCTTGATCTCTAATCAAGTCCTACAAATAAATAGTAATGTATATTTATTTAGAGCATATGATAAAGAAATAATTACATTGAATTTTCCACTAACATTACAGAAAGGTTAATTCAAAATAATACCTTACAATTACATCACAAATTAGAAAGAATATGGAGTTAGCTAATGAACATGATAAAATCAAGATTTTGATGCACTCACCAGCCTAATCCTGTATTGAAGGGATTATTATCCCTGATCAATGCTGAAATCTATTTCAGGCCATTCAAAACCAATGGTTGCCTCAATTCTTAAAAAAAAAAAATTCTACTGGCACATAGTAAGAGCAATAAAATGTTCATACCCTTTGATCCTGTAAATCCACTTTAACAATTTCTAAGGAGATAATTCATAAGAAAAAGTAATATGCACAAAGATGTTCAATGCAGCATTATCTATCATACTAAAATATTAGAAATAATTATTTCCCTGTTGTAGGCATATCGACATATTGGTTAAGGTAATGATGGTGTCAATAAATATCATGCAGCTACTAAAACAATTAAGAAGTTTGAATTATGGAACATATTTATAATACGTAAAAAGAATAAAATTAAATGTACACTGACAATAATAAAAACGTGGATGTATAAAAACACACTAGGAGGGGAAACATCAAAATGGTTCAAAAAAGGCTTAAAATTTGTCTTTATTATTAAAATACATAGCTTGTACAACAGACAAAACTGCTGGAGGAAGGGGAAGAGTCTATTGACATTTTTTTTTTTTTTTAATAGAGGCATGCTTTACTTATTTATTTATTTGTTTGTTTGTTTGTTTTGTTTATACATGCACTGGGTACAGTCAGAAGCGCGGGAGGGTGAGAGAATTCACCAGAGCCAGAGCAGGGAGCAGAGCAGGCAGAAGGACCGAAGGACACTGCTGAGGGGAGCAGCGGGCAGCAGCAGAGGTCTGTGCGCCATGTGGGACCCTCCTCTGGTGGCCGGGGAGCAGCCGGGGATTGAACCGGCGCCACAGAGGCTGCGGGCAGCTTCGCAACCCAGCGCCCAACCGCTGCGCCACCGGGGAGGCCCGAGTCTATTGACAATTTAATACAATTTAGACCCTGGCAGGCTGTACTTAAGGTTGTTTACCCAGTATAAAAATATGAGGGATCAAATGGCCCCAAATAGTAAATACTCGGAAATAGGCTGCATTGTTTATAGGCTAAGACATAAATTCTTTACAAATGTACATCTATCATGTTCAATGTACTATATAAAACTGTCAACATTTTCCATAGAATAAGTCAACAAATACACAATGAATGGAATGAATACTATCTACCACCCAAGCCAGAAGCCTAGGCATGATACTCTTACCTCTCATCACTTTTACTTCTCTCCTTCACTACTACATAGAGCAGTGATCAAGAAGCTAAGAAAGAATGGCCAGGTTTTACCTCATTTTCAAGCATTTATCAACTATATGATCTTGGGCAAGTTTCTTAACCTCTCTAAATCTAATTTTCATAATAGTAAAATATGGATAATAATAGTACTTAACCCACCAGTATTTACGAGGATGGAATGAAAATTTATGTGAAACAGTATAAAACCTGGCATAGAGTAAGCATTTATAACTATCAATAGTTTTCAAATATTATTCCCAACAATGTTATGTACCAAATCTCTCACTAACTCGAAAGGTTTTTGCAAAAACAAATCATTTTCTCTTCCTCTCAAAGTTTTTTAGACTCCTTACTATGAACTACTATAGAGACCTCAGTGTAACACATACAGCCTTTGGCGTGGACTCCTCCTACCTAGTTTTGTCTCCTACCGTTGCCTACTCTCCCCGTGAATTCCCACAATGTCAACTATGAATTACACCCCATGTATAGATACTTCCGTATCTCTGCAAACAGTATTTCCTTTACAATTTTCTTTCTTTCCTTAAGCCCTCACCTAGTGTATTTCATAAACAGCTACTTGCTGTCCTTTCACATCTAGCTTAAATATTATCCATTCCCTGTTAAATATTTCTAGACTCAACCAGGTAGAGTCTTATCATCCCCTTCTATAAATTATTACTACATATATTTTGTGATTCATTCCTTAGACTTGACCTCCTTGAGGGTAAAGATCACATATTAATTTATCCATAATTCCCAACTGCCTGATATAGTGCGTATCTCAGAATTGATATTAAAATCTTGTTTACTGGAATAGCAAATGCTAATGTTTGGAACAGAATTAAATAAATGATTGAAACTGACTGAAACTGCTATTGGGTTTGTATTTTATTTTAGAATTCAGTCACTCAAAGTTTTGGAACAGGGAACAGATGATGACAAAAGAATAGAAAAAAAAAATTATTCTCATGGCAGCACAGAGAATGGGAATGGATAACGAGGAATCAATGGCAGGAAATCCACGTAGGAGATTAATGTAGCAAGTAGTTCAAATGAAGATATATGGGCCTCACATGGTGCTAAGAACATATATGAGATGCACATCAAAAGGAAAAGGTGATACCTTAGGACTATTTAGTTACAGAGGAGGATGATAAGGAAAGGTGATAAAGATGACATTGCAAATGTTCAAGCCTGAGAGAACAGGAGAACAACAGAGATAAAGGAAACAGTCTAAAAGAACATTAGTTTTGAAAGTAAAGATGAAGGTTACAATTTTGAACACACAAGACCTAATTTAAAAATATGGTTTGATTTCTTACTATACTAACTTCTACTTCTTTTCTTCCTTTGTATTCAGGTCTGGCTAGCTAGAGGAGGACTCTTATTGGTTGAGGAAAACTGGTATTAGGAAAAAGTTACTTCAAATGAACTCAACAATGAAAAGTTTCATAGTAAAAAGTTGGTTAAAGTTTGATTTGGGAATTTATTTTGAGAATTTAAATTTGTAATTTTTTACATTTAACAAAATGAGTTATAATTTCAATAATCTGCTACATCTTAGAATAAACACAAAAAGAGTCAAGTCTTATTGGTCATATACCACCACACAAAATGAAATTCCTGAATTTGCCTTTTACATTACAAGAATAAACATTTTTATAAAAATTTTAGAGCACTTCACTAACTCCCTCAAGAACCTCTAAATCTTTTTTTTTTTTAATGCATAGTCTATTAAATTCTCATCTTTATGGATTTTCTCTTCTATTGTTAACTGGATGATTTAATTCTGGTGTATCCTATTTCTCAATAGCTTTATATAACTAGTTCTCCAAAGTCACCTTTCACTGTCTTCATAAAATCCTTAAAATCTTTTCTATTTTTGCCAGATTTGCAATCAATCTGCATTACATTTTCACTGAAATGTTGGATATTGCTGTAACTGGTGTGACTGGTATTAAATAGGAAGGAATGTTTGAGTGGGGTCTAATATGAAAGTGATCTTTTAATTACTGAATATTTTCCTGTTAAGACAATTTTTGCTTTTCTACCTAACCTTGTAACTAAAAGGACTCATGAGGAGAATGCTTGTACAATGAGAACCTCTTCCTCCAACACACACATAACCTCACTAAACTAACCTACCTTCTTTGCACAGGGAAAGAGTTTTGACTTCTTTTATAAATATAATTACTTCGCTAGGCAACAAATCTGGTGGATTATCTTAGTTTTGTGGCTTACTACGGACCAATATTAAGGATAACCTCCTGTCTTTATTCTAATGCACAAATTTTGTGACAAATGACACCTAACTCCAACATCAGGATCCCCAGCCCATCACTGCTCAGACAGCAAGAGCACCTATTCTCTTCTGTAACTCAATTGTGATGACTCACAACAACGAACTAGTCCTTTTGGAAAGACCGCATGTATCTCATCTGTTTCTCAACTCTTCCTTCTCTTGTCTATATCAGAAACTAGAAAAATGCAATGGGCTGGCAAATAAATTTTTTTGTAAATAAATTTTACTGGACACAGTCACATCCATTTGTTTATAATATATTATCTACAACTGCTTTCATATTGCAATGGCAGAGTTCAAAAACTATCATTAGGGATCATGTCAAGTCTAAAATATTTATAATCCAGCTCTTGAAGGAAAAGTTTGTAGATCCTGGTCTATATTACAGGAAAAACTGAAGAAGTGCGATTGTAACATATGATGAAACCAAAAAAAAAAGGCATTAAAAAAAAAGGTTAGACTTTGATGACAAAAAAATACTTAAGGACAAACTTTATGTAAAAAGTACATGCCAAAATTGAAGATGTGTATAGTGATGGAATACAATAGCATATTCAGGAAAGAGAAAAAGTAACTCGAAGTTGTACTTTTAGAAATTTAGGTAAAGATTTTGAAAAGATCTAAACAGGAAATCTGCAATTGCATTCTCTTTTCCTTACCATAAACAAATGAAAGACTTTTACAAAGATGGCGTCATAAGGAAAAATATCAGACTAACTCAGTAATTTGGCACAAATATTTAAAGTCATCAGAGAAGATGACAGAGCTTTTATAATCTGTAATTCATGAAGCCTATCACTTATAACTGTAACAAATGAAAGATGGCACTTATTTCTGATCTATATTACAATTGTAGTAGAAAAATAAAGAAATATATTTGAAATTTCCTTAGTTCTAAAAATGCTGAATACTTACATCAATATTGACAGGTTCTATTGTATTTATATGTACATTTGGAGCTGATGAGGACCGGTCTCTTTGTCCAAATTGATTTCGATGATCTTCATCTGCTGGTCGAAAAGGCTGTGGAATTGGAATGGATTTTGAAGGAGACGGACTGGTGAGAATTTGGGGCCTGGAAAAATCAAGTCATTGGAAGGTAAGATTCAAAGCAAATTTACAGAGATAACATTAAAAAGATTTCCTTCTTTTTATATTCTCAAACATTTTAAAGTAAATTAAGTAAAAAACAGCAACTATATCTCTTTAAAAATATTGCTTTAAAAAACTAATACATGCCTATAACTAATATTGACAAAGTTGCTTTTGCACACAAAGACCCTTCCAGGAATTACTAATAAGAATACTACTTTTTATCCTCTAGAGAAATTCCAGAGTAATCCACAAATGGCTAGAAATTAGCTGTGGGTAACTGGCTGAAGAAATGGTTGTCCTTTAAAGTTACACAAAAATGATCTAGGTAGAGCCTGATTAATACAGGAGTTCAATTAAAATCCAATAACAAAAAGATCATTCTCCAAATTCAAAAGATGAGGCTTACATAGTGTCAATATCTCCTATTTTGAAATTTTACCATGCTCAATAATAGACATAAGGAGAATTAAATAAGCATTAAAACAAATTTGAAAAATGGCTTTTTGATGAAACCATCAAAATAGTTTAGAGTACTGTAGATAAATAATAAAGTCTATGATTCCTCATTGCCCCCAAAATGAACCTGGCACTCACAGAGCACATTCATGTTTGAAAATAGATTGTTAACACCTGAAAGGAGTCTACGGCCCTCAGGAAGAATATCCAAGGCTGCTGGAAGTGAGTATCACTGGACAGATGAGGTGTGGCTGTTTCAGTGAGCTCCATCAGCACCAACGAATGACTGAGTGCTAAAAGCCCATCTTCAGAAATTGGTTATCCACCCCATCTTATGAAAACTCTGTAACTAATCAGCATTTTTAGTGGTTATTAAGACACAGCCAGAAAGACAATGTTGAGGGAATAAAAATGCATTGTTTAAAGGGAGAGGATTTAGGGAGCAACAGAAAAAAACATAGTAGGAAAGGAATGGACAAAGGCTTAGAGTCAAAGAAGTCAAATGATGACAAAAAGCTTCTGAAAAATATGTTAATAGAATCTGAACCATAGCAGGTGATAGTTTTACTTCTTTGAAGCACAGTATTAAGGGTAGGGAAAATTGTTTTACTTTATCTGTTCATATTAATTAAATGTTATTGAAATAAAATATTATGTACTTTGAATTGAAATAAATGTTGAAATAAAATGTCCTTCAAAAATATAGGTATCAATCCAGTAACAATTATACATAAGATTGATGAAACTGGCCTCTAGGACAATTACCAGGGTCCACTGCTTCTTTTTATTCTCTCTGATTATTGAGAAATTTTTAGTTTGTGACAGTTATTATTTTTGCTTAATCAGCCAAATAATGCCCTTTGCTAAGGGATTTTGAGAGCAGATGAAAGAATGTGAAAATGAGAATATTAGTCTTTTTAGAAGTTTTGGAAAGTGCAGACTTTTGAAAAATGTTTATAGACTGATTTAAAGTCTCAAGGCAATAGCATGCTTTCAGCTCAGACTTCGAAAAAGCCTTAATTACAGTTGTATAGGATAGCCTAATGAATATAATTATCTGTTGGTAGAAGTCATAGCAAGTTATTCTTAAAACTTACTGAATTAAGACCCTGACGGCAACATGTAGGGCATAAGAAATCTGAAACATGGATGCAATGGATGTGGGTTGAGAGGTAGGAAAAACAAAAACCTGGATTTAATCTGATCAATTTTGTTATGTCTAAACAGAAGAATAGCTATATTCTTATTATATATTAGAAAATGAAGATATCTGTCTATTACACAAAATAAGAAAGATTAGATTGGTATCTAATAGCACACGGAAAGGTGTGCATTGGTTCATAAAGTCAAGGTTCCCAGCTTTGAGCACAAGTATTTTGTAAGTTCAGAGAACACTTCAAGCTATTATCTCTGGATGTCACTAAACATCTGAACCATGTTCTATTCCATGCTCAACAAAAACAATGTTTGGATTATAATTTGGTTTCTCACAAATATTTTCCAAAAGTGGAGTTGGTGTTGGTTCCTGAAACAGAAGTTTGATCTATACAACAGGCATATTTCCCACTTAAAGTTATTACCTAGTATTCTGATTTAGCCTCTTCTGATTCTGGTTAATGAAAACCTATCTCATCATTTCTGGGAATGAACTGATAAAATTGATTTTTCAGACTGGGAAGTCTTTAAGCCATGCAACTGATAGTATACGAAGTATGTCAGCAGTCAGCAAACTGCCTTTCTCCTGATAATACCTGTTCCCATCTTGTGCAACCTTCTTTAAAGCAGTACCACATTAAAAATAAAAAGGCTTTTCTTCTAACACCCTTTAGCAAATTACTGGTTAACTGAAATCTCACTTTTATTTTATTATTATTTTTTTAATAGAGGCATGTTTATTTATTTATTTGTTTGTTTGTTTGTTTATATATGCACTGGGTACAGTCAGAAGCGCGGGAGGGTGAGAGAATTCACCAGAGCCAGAGCGGGGAGCAGAGCAGGCAGAAGGACCGAAGTACACTGCTGAGGGGAGCAGTGGGCGGCAGGAGAGGTCTGCGCGCCATGTGGGACCCTCCTCCGGTGGCCGGGGAGCAGCCGGGGATTGAACCAGTGCCGCAGAGGCCGCGGGCAGCTTCGCAACCCAGTGCTCAACCGCTGCGCCACCGGGGAGGCCCTGAAATCTCACTTTTAATCTAGAATATACAAACATTTTGAAACAGTGACTACCTGTGATATGTAAATTTTTTGCTTTTCATTAATTTATGTATTCCATGCATTTTTTTTTAAGGAGAAAAAGAGATTCCTCTAATTTTTTGATTTAAAGTAGGCAATGTTAATCACTTCTCCAATAAATCTTATATCCACTGTTATATGTGTTTCATGACTATCATAGTTATCAGGGCTATTAACAAAATGCAAAGGAATCTGGATATAGAACAGTATTGGCTTCCATTTTTTCAAGACCAGAGACTACTTCAGTTTAGTTATGAATAAAATACTCATGGTACAGGAAAATGGTTTCTTAGTTTTAAGATAAGATGTCACTGGAGGGCAAATGTCCTAGAACATTACCATTATAAACCCTCACAGAGGCCAAGTTAATTTCATTATGGTGTTCTGTTAAGTCTGTTCACAGAACTAGGACCTGATATTAGAAAAGAATCATGGTCCACAGGATCTGTCAGGAGTAAATGTCATAACCAAAGAATTTAAAATCAAAACAATAACATTTTGATGTGATCTACTAAGAAACACACAGCTGCATAAAACGTATGATAGAGACAGCAGGAATAAAATGACTACACCAGAGCAGATAGTTGTTACATGACAAAAGAACATAGTGGCCGCATTTTCTAGTTTTCCAAAGTAGATACATACAGCCACTCCTTAACACAAGTCTTTTGCTAAAACTTCTAGCTTATGAGACCTCCAGAAAGTTTGGTTTCATAAAAATTACAGGCTTACTGGGACTGTCAATTTATATTTTTTTCTCTCTTGAGGTAGAAGAAATAGTATTTTACTGTGAAGAGAGGAAGAGTAGGGTTACAACTGACAATAAATATTTCTGGTATTAATTAATATTATATGATAATTAGCTCTGGAATATTCTAGAAGAGAATGTGGTGTGGGGACTTTTTTTTAAACATATGCTTTTAGATAAATAGGATAGTTTATTCTGCACCAAATCCAATAGGAAAAAAGTAGACCTTTATAGGAAATGAGCCAGAGCAAAACATCTATTAAACTCATCATCATATCTTTCTTTTTTTACTATGAAGTATGAATATATGATGCCTTTGTATTATCTTTTTTATTTTATTTATTTATTTAAGATTTATTTATTTATTTATACAAGTACTGGGTACAGTCAGAAGCGCAGGAGGGTGAGAGAATTCACCAGAGCCAGAGAGGAGAACAGAACAGGCAGAGTGATGAAGTACACTGCTGAGGGGAGCAGCGGGCAGCAGGAGAGGTCTGTGCGCTATGTTGGACCCTCGTCTGGCAGCCGGGGATCAAACCGGCGCTTAAGAGCTTCGCAGCCCAGCGCTCAACCGCTGCACCACCAGAGAGGCCCGCCTTTGTATTATCTTTAAAGTCAATTCTCTCCTTTACCCTCCACAACTGACTAATAGTGCTATTAGTTTTTTCTTACACACTTTATGGATACCTACCCCTTCTCTGTCCAGTCACCACCCCAGTGCAAGTCTTCATTGCCTTTCACTATCCTCACTCCCTACAGCATCCTAGTTTGGCTTCTTCACCCTAGACATTTCTGTCAATATATCTGTATATCACTGTTAAGTGATACTTTTTTTTTAAAAAATCATTTTCATCGGGTTAGATCTTTCCTTGAAAATCTTCAAATCTTGGGCCTCCCCAGTGGTGCAGCAGTTGGGTGCTGGGTTGCGAAGCTGCCCGCAGCCTCTGCGGCGCCGGTTCAATCCCCGGGTGCTCCCCGGCTACCGGAGGAGGGTCCCGCATGGCGCACAGACCTCTCCTGCCGCCCGCTGTTCCCCTCAGCAGTGTACTTCGGTCCAAAGAAAATCTTCAAATCTTTTTCCCCATCTTGTGTCAAATCTAAATTCTAAGAGCCTCCATAATGTGGTACATCTTAACTTAGATTAGCTTTTCTTTATGCTTTTTACCATATACCCCTCCCCCCCTTATTTATGTTTTTTCTTCCCTCTCCCCTCTATCACCAGGCTTTTATTTCCTAGGCTTACTCAGACTCTAGACTTTCTTAAAGTCCAGTTCAAATATCATTTTTTTTCATTAAATTTCATGACTACTCTCTCTCTCACTATTGTCATTTCTACTATAAACATGATAATACCTAAATACTACACATACACAGTTCAAAATGTTATACCATACATTACAGACTGTAGTTTCATACCATTTTTACATTGTTTGCCCTTGTCTCATATGTTAATGCTATTTTTCTAAATGAAAGTCAAAAAACTTCTAATCTGATATACTTCTGTATCTGATACCTAATAGAGTGATGAAGGGTGTGAGCACAAGGCAGGGAAGCTAAATCATCTGTTGCTTGATTTTTGCCAAAACTCATCTTGAAACAGCCTATTTCAGTTTTAATCCCATATATTTGTACCAAGTGCATGTAAATATCTGACTGGTGTGGTAAAGTAAGTTATCTGGGAAAAAGTCCTTAGTTTAGCAATCCAAATGTTGGAAAGGTTTATGGTTAACCAAAATGCCCAAAAGAAACTAGCTCATGTCACTGAACAGCAGGAGTCAAATCATACCCAATAGAATCAGAGGGGGGTGCAGAAGGGGAAGATCCAGATGGAAGGGCAGTCTCTGGTAAGGAGGTCTCCTCCTGTGGTATTGGGTGGTGTTCAAAGAACTTGGAGACAAACAGCAAACTGTGAGGCAAAAACAAAAACAAAACAAAACAAACCTAACTTGTGCAAAACCCAGAAGCTTCACACACCAGAATATATTATCAAGTTAACAGAAATATCTGAGATAAATATTCATTTTTAGAAATGATGGTTAAATGCAACCAGTTGTATTTTTTGTCTAAAGATTTAAAAAAATTGTACTTTCAAAAGCAATTTCAGAATCTAAAACTAATTGTTCTGTACAGCAAATTTCTACATATTAGAGGGAAAAACCATGCTTTATGGTTAAGGAATTAGAAGGTATCTACTGCTAAGTTAGATTATAGCATTATAACATACAGAGGTGAATTCTATTTGCCCAAGTGATTAAGAAAGTAAGAAGACCTTAACAGTAGCAACAACAACACAGATTTAAAAGGTTTAATCCATTAGTGAAACTCTGGTAATAAAGCAAATAGAAATTTTAGGAATACACTGGGTATAGAGATTTTATATCTTACTTGTAAAAAAATGGAGGAGGGGGTTGGGGGAATTGAAAGAGAATATAAACATGATTTACAAAATAGGTGAAAGAATCAGACCCCCTGACTGTGGTCCAAACACATACTGTTTAACTTAACTCAAATATCCATTTGCTTCCCCGAAACTATCTAAAAGTAATTTCTATGGGCAAGAGAACTTTAAGAGAAGTACTGGCTATACTACATACTATCAGTTCCACTGTTAAAAAAAATTCCCTATAACAACCGTACTGGTTAGAAAATTCCCACATACTCTAGGAAATACTAGTTTCACATTAAGAACATTTAAATGTAAAATGATATATAGGAAAGAGTTTTTTTGATTACTTACTCAAGTTGATCATAATTAACACACATCAAGGGAACCTCTGTACTACAACGCTGGTGAAATTTATAACCACATGTTTGACAACGGAATCCCTGGAAAAGCAGCTTTCGACAGAAGTCACAAAATGCTAAGGTGAAAAAGGTTTTCCGTACCTGCAAAGTAAAACATCAGAAGATTTTAAGAATTTGCCAAGAAACTTTTTAGAAATCAACTTATTCTCTTATTTGAAAGAGTATCTTTAACAATTTCATGTCATAAGCACTGCCTTATACTCTAACATAACAAAATGAAAACCAGTGGGTTCAAAATAACAGCTGGACTACACATTTTTATCTCCTACCCAATACCGAATTAAAAAATTCAGAAGTCAAGAAAATGGGAAATGAATAAAAGCCACTAATTTCAAGCTTGACTACCTAAAAGTCAAAGTACAGATGGCAGGCAAAAGGAGGTAACAGAGGTGAAAGGAAGGTTAAGGGTAGGTTTTAACTACAAATAAAGAAGTCAGAGATGCTTACGGGTATTGATAGAAGAAGAAAGTATATTGCTTAGAGTTACAATGATATCCAATAGAGGAACCAAAAAAATCCCCAAAACCAAAAATAAAAACCACATTGGAGGAAGGGAAGGAGTAGAGGAAATGTTGCAATGCTACAAATGAACCAATACCTCATGGAATCAGTAACTAGTAGATGATGTCTAAAGCTGATGAAGCAAAAAATTGTGGCTTAAAGTTATTATTCAGTAATATGAAAGTAATCACCAAAAAAGCTTAAACTGAAACCATTGATATGAACAATTTCCTCCAAAGAGTGGCATTAGCTGCTAGCAAGGGAATGGAAAAGATATTTTTTCATTTTAAGCCCCTCTGCACTATTTTAACAACTTTGCGTATGTATACTACTTTAATTAAAAAAACAAACAAAACAAAACTAGCCTGTATTGTATGAAATTCAGAACAAGCATACTTAAACTAACCAGGGTAAAGGAAAGGAAAATCACCTAAAAAGACACTAAGAACTACTGAACAAATTATCAGTTTGTTGGAGGATTAGAACACCTAGGTGTACTTTGCAAGCAGTCTCCTAGGTGAAACTGAGAAGGGCCAGCTCTAAGAACTCCATGTTAGGAGGCAGAAGATGTATAACACAGACTACATAAAGAGAAAACTACTGAAGACAGAAAGTATTAAGAAGTATTTGTTTTAGAAATAAAGAAAAAAATACAAAAAACCTAAAAGAAACAAAAAAGGTATTTGGTTTGTGAATATAATAAGCAGAAAATAAAAGAAGGATTAACAAATGCCACAATTTAACAATGGCTAATTTAGAGTGTTGAGAGGATGGGTGACTTCTATTTTGTCCTTTGTTCTGTGCTATATACTCTCAGTATCTTATATTATGACCCAGAACACACTATATTCCTTTAATAATGCTTATCCTGCTATATATATATAATGTAAATTAGAATTTTTCAGTCTATTCTAGTTTATGTAAATGCTTCTCAAAATTCGTTAAATTAATTTCAATGCCCACAATTTACATTTACAAAGTATGTTCAATAAACACATTCAATTAGATACAAAGTTACTTTTAGGTTTTTTTTTTTCAAGATTTATTTATACAAGAACTGGGGTACAGGCCAGACATGCGGGAGGGTGAGAGGATTCGCCAGAGACAGAGTGGGGAACAGAACAGGCAGATTTGACCAAAATACACTGCTGAGGGGAGCAGCGGGCGAGACAGGAGAGGTTTGCCACGCCATGTGGGTATCTCTGTGGCCGGCCAGAATCGAACCCGCACTGCAGAGGCTGAGGACAGCTACACAGCACTGCGCTCAACCGCTTGCACCACCAGGGAGGTCCTACAAAGTTACTTTTAAATAGCACTTCAGCAAGAAAGTGATATCCTGGCACAACATCCATTCTAACATTTTGAGAACATTTTTATAGTTTTTAAAATGGATCTTATTTTTTTCTATGTATCTTTACTAGGGATGTCAAAAGGCAACTGCTTATTTTTAGCTTTGTTCCTTTTCCTTTTGTCTCTGAATATAGAAGAAATTGGAAAATCTTCTTTAACAAAGCAAGCATCTTTTATATTGCTACCAGAATCTCAGGAAACAGAATACAGAAAATTAGAACAATTTTCATTAACCAGCATTTTGTAGTCATCTGATCCTCCATGCTAACCAGTCATATACTTACTTGCTTGGTTATATGTGGATTTTCATAAAGCCCCCAACTGATCTCCCTTCATCAATTTACTTAATTAGTCTTCTTGATACCAACTTATATTTGAAAACTGCATGTAACTGGCTAGGTGTGTATGTAAAGGAGAAAGATAGACAAAGAGAGAGAGAGGGTGGGGGGGGAGAGAGAGAGAGAGAGAGAGAGAGAGAGAGAGAGAGAGAGGCAGGGAAGAGAGGAGAAAACGGTATTCATTTGAGTAAAACTGTGCAATACACTTGTCTCTGTAGAATGTATGTATATATATTGTTAATAGAGGTGGGCAAAGGAAGGTAGATCTTTTCTTTTCAGCCTCAACTTACAAATATTCTCACACTTGAGCATATCTGGATATGGAAAGCAAACCTGTAGGATGTGGGCAAATACTGAAGGAACTGGTTTTGTGATACATGATGAAACCCAGAGGCATAAGCAACATTCTTTGTGTAGCCAACAAAATCCAGCACAGAGAAGCAAAGGGAGGACTCATTCTCTTTCTAAGCAGAACACAGGCTTTTACTCCTGTCTTTCTATATGGTTACTCACACATCTCCCCTGCTTACCATCAAATTACTAATTGTTTCAGAGAAAAGTCCAAATCTTCACCAAGGTTTACAAGGACTCTCATGAGCTGGCCTCCACTTACTTTACCTCTAACTTTTGCTACACCTTAAAAGTCCCTCTTCAACTCTGTACAACTCATTCTGAACTTCTTTCAAAATTGAATGGATAACAAGCTTTTCTGCTATTCTGTCTGTCCAGAGATTTTCCCACTCACTCTTCCTCTGCTATTCCCTCTCCATCCAGCCTTAGCCTAGATATTTTTTCCTTTGAGAAGCGAGGTTAGGAGATTCCACATTGTGCAGCTCTTGTACTTTATATGTACACAGTAATTTAGAGTGCTTTTATAAAATTTTCTTATTAAATCATCTGTCTCTCCAGTCCAAGGCAAGAATACACCTTTTCTTATTTCACTGTTATATCTGCAGATCAGACACAGTGTTGGCAAATGGAAGGTTCTCGGTTAATGTTTACTGGCAGGTCACCACTTGTGTTGTGAGGATTTCTGTACTCTGGAATTAATATACAGTCTATTTTCATTTCCCCCTTCTGGCAAGGATCTTCCTGAGGCACTATTTTAGTAGTATTATATCCTTAGAAACTTAGGTTTCTTCTCTCATCTCTTCATATCCAATCTCTAACTAAGAGCAATAACTAAGAAAAATATTGGGTTGTTGGAAAGGTTGACCTTTTTTTTTGTTTTTCAAAGAAAAAAATACATCAGGACTTTTCTGACAACCCATAGTAGCAATCACTATGAAATATAAGCTCAATTGTTTTTGGAGTCCTAAAATATGAAAGTCTTAAGATTTACTCACTCAAAATTCTACAAGTTAAAAAAATTCAATTGTAATGATCTTCCCAGATCATCACTACAAACTTATTTGCTACATAGTATATTTGATTGACATTAGGCATATTTACACTTGTCCAAAAGATGCCTATTTACTGAACCAAAAACTTGATTTTATTATTCATCATTAATGCAGTCCAGAAAACACAACCTCCTCCTCCCCAGGGAATCACCTCATCAACCATCTGCTTAAAGAGTCCAAAAGTACTAATCACCAAGGCAAATAGGAAAACGCTAGGTTTCAAAGGGGACAATAACAACTATCCATCTAGAAAGAAAGAAATTATGGTCAAAATTCTACAGGTATATAAGAGAAAGAAATGTATTTCTGTCATCTGGGTCCCTTTAATCCTGCCTCTGCATACCTGTTTAGAGGATAAGTTCTCAAGCCTTAGAACTATGTCCTCATCTCTAAGGTGGAGAGGTCCCAGTACCACAATTCATGGCTGGGACACTTAGCTTAGTTAGGCTAGGTTGTAGCAAATGTAACCACCAGACAGATAAAGGGAGGGGTACTCAAGGAGAGTTTTTAACAGCTTCCCTCAGTCCTCAAGGGCAGTTATTCTACTTCTATTATCCTATCCTTCAGAAACATTTACACAAGTGTGTCAAGATGTACAGTAAGATTCTGTTTAGTCCTGTATATATATAAAAATTACTAAAAAAATTTAAATGTCTATTAACAGAAAATTTGTTAAATATACTGAATTTATATCTTTATGTATTATTACATAATAATTACGAAAATAAAGCTAGGTGTACCGACATAGAAAGATGTCCATGATATGTTGTTGAATTAAAAGAAAAGGTGAAGAAAATCACTTGATTCCATTTTTAGCTTAAGAAATGCAAAGTAGGGCCTCCCCTGGTGGCGCAGCGGTTGAGCGCTGGGCTGCGAGGCTGCCCACAGCCTCTGCAGTGCCGGTTCGATCCCCGGCCCCTCACGAGGGTCCCACATGGCGTGGCAGATCTCTCCTGTCTCGCCTGCTGCTTCCCCTCAGCAGTGTATTTCAATTAATCTGCCTGTTCTGCTCCCCACTCCAGTGAATCTTTTCACCCCCTGCACCTCTGGGCTGTACCCCAGTTTTTTGTATGCATAAATAAACAAATCTTTAAAAAATAAATAAATAAAAATAAAATTAACTCTTCAGTTTAAATATTAGTTTTTAAGGAGAACTGATTTTCAACTTAGGTTAAAAATATCAATCCCACAATTGTTCAAACTCATCTCCACATAAAAATTCACTCACAAAAACTTGAATATTTTTGATATATCAAAACAAAAATGTAAAGTACATACAAAGTTATGTGTTGTAAGTGGAACATTCTCCAACACTTCTACATGTAATTCTTCTCCAGTAAGCCAGGAAATATCAGTGTCCCAGCCAATTGGTTTCTTCTCTCTGGAAAGTGTAGACACAAGCCTTTCTTGGTTACACTGAAAAATCTTGGTATACCTCATGCTGAAGATAATGAAAATTGGTTATTGAGGGGCTAGTAATATTGAGGGAGGATTGGCTCCCTGTTCTTCTGTCGTTAGAAATTTAAATGGCAATAAATTAATTTTTAAGTTTACCCCAAATAAATGTATCACTCTTGGACAAACAGCAGGGTAAAGAGATGTACTCTTTTCTTCAAGTCAGCTCCAGAAAAGACCTACAACAGCAGAAAATGGATTGTTCCTGGGGTCCGGAAAAAAAAAATTCACAGGTGGGGATTTAGCTATCCATTCAAAGAAAAAGAGTACTCAAGAGACAACATGTCCCAAAAAGGATTTAAAAAAAAAAAATAGGGATAAAAACTTAGGGGTCTTGGCACAATTTTAGTTACTTTCTGAGAGAAAAATAATTCAAATTAAAACATCAATTTTGATAAACATTTTGTGAAACTATGAGTTTGTATTAAAAATATATGGTTGAGGAAGAGTCCATTATTCAAATAAGTCATAGTCTAAATGGCTGAAAAATTTAAGAATCTCAAACTCTAAACAAAGTCATCTGATGAGATTAAAACATGCTCATTACACAATATTATCTACTGCTAATTCCTCAAAGGGTCTAGAAAATGTCTTTAGGCTAACTTCATATTAATTTTAATATCTTTTCTAAAGTTGATTTTCAATCTACTAGGTTTGGTTAAAGATCCTACAGAAAACCCTGATGTTTAATGTCTGAGTTTTTTTTTTTTTTTTTCTTTTTTTACACAAAAATTCACATCACATACAAACCATACCCATCCTGAATTCTGTAAACAGCACAGCACTCTGGGATAAGACCTCTCATCATCAGTGCTTTCTTTAGACTGTCCCGGACTGTAACGCCACACCTTGCAGGTACCTGTGTCATAAACATGATATAAATATGAAATATGTCATGAAGGGAATCATATTTTCATATCATTTAAAAAATTCAATTAGTGCCTTTAGAATGTTATATGTATCACTATGTCAGATACAAAATCATTTTTAGAGGTAACAATACTAAAGGGAAATTATGATTTGAGTATTATTCAAGTATTATTTAACTATTATTCACCAACTGAAAGAGTGACTCTTTAGTCTTTTATTAAAATTATTAAATAAGCATTAAAAAGAGTAGAAAACATAACATATCCCTATGTACCCACCACTGAGATAGATGTCAACATTTAAAGTAAGATCAATTTGATCCAACATTATTCAAAGCTGAAAACTGCTTCTTCATACTGATTGTCCTTAAAAGATGACTTACCAATCCTAAATACAGCAGGAAAAAAATACTTGTCTTAATGTGTATAATTGATATTTGTTGTTTAGTTGCCTAGCACCCCTGTTTCCTCTGGGAATCTGCCCTTCCCTAAAAAATCCACAACACTAGAGAGGTTATCAATCAAGGGTTTCTACTTTTCTGGCTACGTATGACATACACTGACTAATCATGTTCCCAGATCCCTGGCATTACCAGTGGGTACAGGGGTAGATACAGGTCCCAAACCTCACCAGAGTTACTTCCTAAGCTGACAGATGAAGACTGGCTGAGAAGTTCTACTTTGACTGTAGTGACAGTGTACAAGAGGATACTGAGAATCTGGTTATAGAATGAAGCAGCTAACCAAAACTAACAATTGAAGTAGGTACCTTTCTCCCTGGTCTTTCAACTGTGGGAACCCAGCCCCCTTGTTCTCAAAGATATTGTCTTGGTGCCCAGAGTCCCTGCTTGTCAGCTAGGTGTAGGGTCATGCAGGAGGCCTCTCACCAAGGACAAAAGTCTGGCATGAGGAACATACTGGGAAACCAGTATCTGCTGAAAACAGCAGGCAGATATTAGAAAAGAGATAATATGCTTTGACTAGCAGCACATAACTTCTGGTGTAGCCCCACTAGACCTCTCATTGCTTCACATGGACTTTGAGTAATCTCTTTCATCTCAAACTGTCACCAGTAAGGTGACATTCAACTAAGGACACAAGGCACCAAAAGACAAAGACATAGCAGGACTAGTCTTGTTAAGAAGCTACAACAATAAGTGGCTTCCAGGCAAATCAAAGAAAGAAAGAATTCAAGGATTATGGCACTGCTAAAACTTCCAAATCCCAGAAGATAAGGCTCTAAATAGAGAGGGTAATTTTTTTTTCCCCTCAGTGCATCAGAGAGATACGTTTATGGGACACCTGCCCAGGTTTTCTCTGTAAAAATTCTTGAAAACGTTTTCCTTGCAGACTATATAAAATCTCTTTCTTGAGAAGCTCAGAATTTGGGCAACTCTCCCAAGGCTATCTAGAGGCAGTTCTAGGTTCCAGTTCTCAGTCATGATTCTTTAATAAACTTATTTACTTTTGTTTGCCTCAATTTATTGAAGCCAACAAAGCTAACCTAAGTAGTAGAAATGAGATTGAAACTGGGAAAGAGATAAAAAAGAATCTTTCCGTATATTTGAAGTTATCCCACCTATCCAAGACTTTCCCACAATGATGCCCTATTCCCAGGGGCATTTCAATAATTTGTAACTGAAAAAGAACTAATAAAACACTGTGGATTCAAATGAGAAGATGGGTTCAAACTGGGTTTTTATCAGGGAGAGTGTAGACAGAAGGGATGTGTAACAACAAAATTAAACATTTCATTCTTTCAAATCACTAATTTGTCAACCAAAAGCTTGACAAATTAAAACTGGGAATCTTTATGCGAGAAGAGAGGAAGTGGAGTCAAAGTAAATAAAGGACAGCTGAATTTAAATAGTATATTTAAGGTAGCGAAATCCAGAAAGTCAAATTAAGATCTACTATTAAAAATAACAGGAGACAGATTTTAGCTCAATGTAACCATTAAAAATATTATCTAGCAGGGACAGGCTTATCTGGAAGTATTTGAGACTGGATTGGTATAATTAATCTTTATTTGTGGATTCTATATTTGCAAATTTGTCTACCTGCTAAAATTTATAACCCCAAAAATCAATACTGGCACGGTTTTTGCATACATGAACGGTGAAAAGTTTGTCCCATGCTCACCCTTCCCGGCCTAGGTTGAACAAGGTGACACATCTTTTCTAGTTCTCATAGGTAAACAAGCGTCAGTCATAAAACTTTTAAGCTAATGGACTCTGGTCTATTGTAAAGAACCAAGCTACCTAGTGGCAAATATATAGGGGTCAGCTTTGGCTCATTTATATACCCATAACCTTGTATTTCTTCTAGAACAATAGTTCAGTATTCACTAATTCAGTGTTTCCAGTGAGTTTATAGTGAGAATGAATAGTGAGAATTGGCTGTACTTTCAAGAGCTAATGAACTGAAGAGGAAGCTCACTTTTCCCTTCTGCTACTTTTGCTTATTGTAATGCAAAAACTTCCTAACTGGCAACACTATCTTTAGTTTAGACTCCATCCCTTCCCAGGTCACCACAGAAACTTTCTAGAATAGGTATTCTTAATCAGTGTGTGCACAGATGAGTGTGTGTATGTGTCAAAGGTGCCTAAGAATCTGATGAACATCTCAGATGTTATCTCCAAAACAAAATTTCAGGGGGCTCTATAGAACCAGATTTGGAAGCCCATTCTAAAACATAATCTTATATCTCACTAGTTTGCTTAAAGTTTTTCCATTATTTATAGAGCAAAATTCAAATTCCATAGTGCTGCATATAAGACCATCGATGAACTGGAACCATCTACCCCTCAGTTCCTCTGGATTTTCCCTCATATGCTCCTGAAATACCATCTTCACCTATAGCTATGCTCCCTTGTTTCTCTGCACAGGCTGATCCCAAGGTGTGCACATGTTTCACTAGGGCCAAAACTCTCATTTTCCAATCTATCACCAACGAAAAGCAATCAATCCATTCTTCATTTCACTTTTGTAGGTTTAACGCTGGTACCATTTGCTCTTTCATGATAGTGACTACTCAACAGATTGACAGACACTGAACAGATTAGAAAGAACAAAAACAGCCTCCAACATATACAGGAAATTAGAAAATAAAGGCAGCATCTGAAGGTTAAAGATGAACTTTTTAATCATTGATGTTGGGAAGAGAAGCAAACTAGGAAAAAAGGTTCATCCGTATTTCCTACTGCATAGTAGGGCACACGCCAAGTGGATATGAGAACATATGTCAAGCAAAAACTTGTATATGAATGTTCACAGCAGCATTATTCATAAGGACCAAAAAGTGGAAACAATAATGAAGAGTAAATAAAACATAGTATATATACACAAGGGGGTACTGCTCAACCCTCAGAGGTGTGAAGGACTGACACATGTGACAACATGGGCTAGCCTAGGAAACTTTATGCTCAGTAAAAGTCAGTATAATAAGAGATTATATGTTGTTTGATTCCATTTATTGTATATGGAATGTCCAGAATAGACATATCTACAGAGAAAACAGGGCTTGGGAGGTTGGGAAGAAATGACTACTACTAATAGGAAACAGGGTTTCTTTTTTTGAATAATGAAAATGTTTTAATATTGATTGGGGTAATAACTGCATAATTGAGTAGACTAAAAATTATTAGATTATACTCTTTAAATTGGTGAAATATATGGTATATGAACTATATCAAATTCTGCCTTTTAAATTAAGTCTAGGACAAGAAGATAGGTTTAACACAAGCAAACTTTCAGGGTAATTCAGTGAATCCAATACCTTCTAGGTTAACTTTTTATTGTCACAGAATATACAATACATACTGAAAAAATACATGGACCAGGGTATCTTAGACTTAATATACTTTAAATTTTGTATATGTAATATATATATGATATATATTTAATTTTGTTGATACTCAATTAGCCAGAGTCTCATGGGAAAAGGAAGTCTCATATGCTGCTGAGAACATGTACGAGTAAGAACTTCTCCTTTAAAGGTATTACAAGTTTTAAGTATATATGCCCTATGACTCAGTAATAATTTTTAAGGGGCCTCCCCGGTGGCGCAACGGGTTGAGCACAGCACTGTGAAGCTGTCCACAGCCTCTGCAGCACGGGTTCGATTCCGGGCCGGCCAGGGAGACTCCCACATGGCGTGGCAGACCTCTCCTGTTGCGCCCGCTGCTCCCCTTAGCAGTGTATTTCGGTCCATCTGCCTGTTCTACTTTCCACTCTGTCTCTGGTGAATTCTCTCTCTCCTGTGCCTCTGGCCTGTACACCAGCTCTTGTATAAATAAAAAATAAATCTTTTTAAAAAAATTTAAAAAATTAAAAATGAATTCTTGTATTGATGAGTATAATGGTTATAGGTCTAGCATATAAAATCTACAACTATGCTGTTCCATAACTCTACCAGCTCCGCCTCCTTATTCTATCAATTACTGGAGAAGATGTGTTGAAATCTCCCACTAGTAAAGTCAGTTTTTCAATCTATTTGTAACTCTACTGCTTTGTATATTTTGAGGCTGATATTATGTATATAATGCTTAGAGTTCTTATGTCTTTCCAAGAAATTGTTTCTTTAATGATAAATATAAAGTATGAGGATGGTTATCTTTAAAGAAACAATTTCCTGGAAAGACATATCTTCAAACTTAATATTTTTTTTTTTTTGTCACTAAAGTTCATTTCACATGGTATTTAGATAGAACTACCAATTCTTTTGAGGTAATCATTCTTTTTTCATTCCCTTTTTAAATTGAGCTAATACTTGTTTACAATACTGCATTTCAGGTGTACAGTTTCTCATAAGAAACAGATTTACTAAGGTATAATTGACATATATAAGATGCAATGATTTAAATATATAATTTGATACATTTTGACACTATACATACTCATAAAATCATCACCACATTCAAAATAATGAAATGTTTACCTTCTGAAGGCTTCCTTGTGCTCCTGTATAATTAATTCCTCCCTCCTGCCCAGCTCCAAGCCCAGGCACATACTGATCTGCTTCCTGTCACTATAAAAGAGCTTGCATTTTCCAGAATTTTATATAAATATAATTATAAAGTATAAATTCATTTTTGTCCTTCATTCAGCATAATTATTTTGAGATTCAACTATGTTGTGTGTATTAATATTACAAACCATTCACCTTTGGATGGTTATCTGGGTTATGCCCAGTTTGGGGCTATTACAAATAAAGCAACTAAGAAGAGTTTTGTAGAAATTTGTGTGTGGGTATATGTTTTCTTTTCTCTTGCATAAACACCTAGGCATAGAAAGGCTAGGTCATGTGCTAGGTACATGTTTATTTAAACTTTATATAAAACTGCAAACTTTTAAAAAAACTTGTGGTAAAATATACACAACTTAAAATTTACCATCTGAACCATTCTTAAGTATACAGTTAGTTGTGTTAAGGACTTTCCCACTGTTATGAAACAATCTTTAGAACTCTCTCCATCTTGCAAAACCGAAACTTTACAAACATTAAAACAATTCCCTATATCCTCTTCTTCAGGCCCTGGCAATCACCGTTCTATTTTCTGTCTTTATGAATTTGACTACTCATATAAGGGAAATTATATAGTATTTGTTTCTGTGTTTGGCTTATTTCACTTCACATAACATCCTTAAAGTTTATGAATGCTGCAGAATTTGTCAGAACTTCACACTTTTTAAGGCTGAATAATATTCCATTGTATGTAGACATATTTTGTTTATCCATTTATTTATTGAAGGATTGATTCCACATTTTGGCTATTGTGAATGATGCTGCTATGAATAGGAGTATACAAATTATCTCCCTGAAACTCTTTCAGTTTGTTTTGAATATATATCTAGAAGTGAAACTGCTGGATCATACAGTAATTCTATTTTTACTTTTCTGAGGAGACACCACACTGTTTTCCACAGCCATCATACCATTTTACATTCCCACCAACAATGTACAAGAATTCCAATTTCTCCACATCCTGCCATCAACACACCCTATTTTTTCTTTTTTTTTTTTTTGATAGTCATTTAACCATCCTAATGAAATGTTTACCTTCTGAAGGCTTAGTCATTGTAGCCTTTGATTTGCATGCTCCTGAGGATTAGTGATGTTGAACATCTTTTCATGTATTTGTTGGACATTTGTATATAACTTCTTTAGAGAAGTAGCTATTCAAGTTGTTTTGTCCATTTTTCAATTCGTTTGGAGTTATATATATTTTTTTAATCACATCTGGTTTTTTTTTTAATAGAGCCATGTTTTATTTATTTATTTGTTTGTTTGTTTTGTTTATACATGCACTGGGTACAGTCAGAAGCGCAGGAGGGTGAGAGAATTCACCAGAGCCAGAGCGGGGAGCAGAGCAGGCAGAGGGACCGAAGTACACTGCTGAGGGGAGCAGGGGGCGGCAGGAGAGGTCTGCGCGCCATGTGGGACCCTCCTCTGGTGGCCCGGGAGCAGCCGGGGATCGAACCGGCGCCGCAGAGGCCGCGGGCAGCTTCGCAATCCAGTGCTCAACCACTGCGCCACCTGGGAGGCCCTGGAGTTATATTTTTAAAAATAAGTGCTTTTAAACAACATTCTTTCATTTTGTTACATTAAGTATGGACTCAAATTTATCTATACAACTCAGAATCATACGTGTTATAAATCATTTCTTTGAATTCTGCTCTACTTCTTTATTTCTACTTTTACTTTCTGAGCTCCTTTGAGGCATATAATGAAACTATTCATTGCAGCCTTCATACCTCTTAACCTCTCTCATATTTTCTCTAACTCTCTTTCCTTGTTTTCTAGAGTTCACTAATTATCCCTTGGGCTTAATTATCAATTGGGCTTAATCTATTTACTACCTCATCCACTGAGTTTTTTTAAAATAGGTATTTTAATTTATATATAGCATTTTAACATTAGCCCTATAATATGTTGTAACCATCTTGACATACTGAGTGTTTTGAAAGTGTTACACCTGGCTACTTCTTCAAATCAGCATCAATATGTTCATTCATTTTCCCCTAGTGACAACTGCTTCCTTTCAACTTTGTATTTTTCCTTCAGACTATCTGAATTTTTGTAGCTCTATTATGAAAAACTTCGAGCAGAAAATTAGAAGGAATAGTTATTTAACATCCAAATTCTCTCTACTTAAGATACTAAAGATTTTTAAAGTATTTGTTTTCCTAATATATTCTTTTCTATCATATATTTAAAGTAATTTCCAAAGTGATTAGCTAGAAGTCAGAAAAACAGTTACTCTTTAAAATGGGTGAATGGGCCTCCCTGGTGGCGCAGCGGTTGAGCGCTGGGTTGCGAAGCTGCCCGCAGCCTCTGCAGCGCCGGTTCGATTCCCGGCTGCTCCCCGGCCACAGGAGGAGGGTCCCACATGGCACGCAGACCTCTCCTGCTGCCCTCTGCTCCCCTCAGCAGTGTACTTCGGTCCTTCTGCCTGCTCTGCTCCCCGCTCTGGCTCTGGTGAGTTCTCTCTCACCCTCCCGCGCTTCTGACTGTACCCAGTGCTTGTATAAATAAATAAACAAACAAATAAATAAATAAATCTTAAAAAAAAATGGGTGTCAAATTAGAGGGGGCACAGGAGAATCCTCTCAAGCACTACAGTGTCCTACATCTTGATCTGCAAGACAGAAAACGGTAAGTAGACAGATAGAGCTGTATACTTTAGATTGTATACTTTTTTATGTGTAAGTATTATTTCAAAAAAACAGTGGGGAAAAGTTGAAAGCATGACAATTTACCCCTAACTCCATAATAACGTAATAGTGAAACTACATTCAACATTTTCCATTTCAAGAATGCCTCTTATATCTCTTCCTTATCCTAGTCCCAAACCAGGATCACACACTGCATTTGACAGTTATGTTTCTTCTGCCTTAGTGTAGAAAAACGTTTTTTATTGCGTCTAGGGCATCTGTCTTATAGGGTGCCACATTCTGAATTTGTCAAATTGTTTTCTCATGGTATTGAACATTTTCCTCTCTTCCCTATGTTGTTTGTAAAATGGAAGATCCAGAAATTTAATAATCAACATCAGCTTTTTTAGCAAGAATACTTCATAGATGGTATTTATCATCCACTGAGTTTTAAATTTTAGGTTCACCTAAATGTTCTATTTGTTTCCTTCTTAGGAGTCTATTTTTGCTGTTTTAAGTCTTTTAATTCGCTGATGGTAGACTGTTTCCTTGTGTAGCTTGTAACTTGGGATTTGGAGCTTTTCAGTGGGATATTAATTCTGAATTACATGAGAACTAGATGGATCAAGGGGAGGTTTGCCTTTGTTTCTGCCCAGCGCTTGAGTGCATGACCACTCCAGCTTGAGTGCATGACCACTAATTTCTTGAGTTGAGTGCTCCTGGACAATGTCGTAGTATTAGTATGATCCCCACACTATGATGAAAACAGGTCCATAATGAGGAATTCACAGGGGGAAAGTATAACCTTTATTTTGATTCTGGACAAAGACAAGTTCCATTACTACATAGGATTCCCTTAAATAAATTTTCTTCTAGTTCACCTTTCAGCCAAAGGTAAACTGTTCAAGGCTCAACTACATGTGAGTATATCATCTCCAACTACCTTTGTGACACTGGGTGAAGGTTTAGTCTTGTAAGTATTCCCACATATTGACACTCACATGCCTTTGGTGCACAGAGTGACAAAATGACTCCACTGGAGGTCACTACAGCACAGGTCAGCTAACTTTTCCCATGAAGAACCAGCATTACTACTAATGCTATCTGAGGAAAAAAATTAAAAACAACTAGTTGTATTTAAGAAATGTAATGTGTTTTTAAAAAATTCCAAAAGTAACCATATAATTATTTAAGAAAAGCATATGTATACAGGCATGTATATGCATACCTGTAAAAGCATATATATACGCATTATTTATTAAGTCCACTGAAAGCACTTGTTGTACTTAAGGATTATAGATCATCTATAATAATTCTACAGATTTCCCTGCTTTTAATGTTACTTATAGAAGACAACAGTGATAACGACCAACAGTCAAAAGTTATATAGACAAAAGGAAAAATATTAAGCACAGTAAAAGTTCAACATATATAATAAATCTGAATAGCATTTCTCAAGGGGGAAGAGCCAATCCCACTGACATTCTGTTAGACAACAAACAAGCTCAGGTCTTGCAGTTCTGACTGATTCGGGACCAGTATGTAAGACTTGAGGACTATTCAAGTTTGGAAGACAGACTGAAATACGAAATTTAACACAAAAGGCAATACTGTTTGCTCCAGTCAAAGAACATAAGCTTGGGCACCAGTCATCTCTTTTCCACTCTTGTCTGACATACAGGCCTCCACCTGCATGGCTGCTGCGTGTGGAGTTAGAATGTATTTCATTTCAGCCAGGGTCTTTCTGAAAAGATACAAAGGACAGGCACTGACATTAAAAGTTGACTCACCACAGTCCTCTGCTTGTTGGGGAGGAAGACTCTAACAATAGGTTTTTGGGGTGACTTGGGGTTGCTCCGTGACACGTCTGAGGGAGTTGGAAAAACTGAGAGAGCTGAAGGCAGCACTGAAAGGCTAGAAGAGGAAGATGATGTGACGGTGTCCGTGGACGCGGAGCTAGAGACAGAGAGGTCAGCCCCGCTCCCCAGGGACTCCAGCAACTGCTGCTCTCTCTGCTGAAGGGCGTCTAGCTTGCTGGTGTATTCTTCATAGGCCTGTAAAATAAAGTAGACTTACATTGAGTCTGGACTTTTTCCTGACAGTAAGAAAAGGAAATAGGGAATTCAAGTCTTTGATTATAATCCTTTTAAAATCTAGTTAACAGGTTTTAAGTGACAAGTTACAAAATAAACCCAGAAGTACTGCAAATGAATACTTTTACCTTTAATTGATAAATCTTTTGTTGTAAGGTGCACATTATATTGTGAAACTGACATAGATTATTCATGAAAATTCTAGACATTATCTATATTACATATATGTCAGATACATATGATGTCTAGAAAATGCATGAAAATTAATTTTAAAAATGTATCATTTGCAATTTTCTGGTCAAATTGTGACTTACTTCCAACCCATATATCTAAAATACGATTAAATACCATATTAAATCAAGGATAAGTACACTTCCATTGAAAACTTCCTTTTTCCCATAAAAGTTGTAGGCAGAGAAAGTTCTCTCTCTCTCTCTCCTCCTTCCTTCCCTCTCAAAGAATAGAAAGGTTGAAAAGGAGATGAGATGTTAAGAGACATGTGTGAAAAACCAAGACTCAGGAACACACTGCCACGCATCATTTCTTCAACCGGGCTTAGAAGACATGGACCTGCCCCCTTTTTTCTAAGTAGAATAAATACTTTATTCTTCTCACTACACTACAGAACTCTGATGACCTCCTTCCTTATCAAATACTGCTTAGAGAACAGAATTTTATTTGAAAAGGTGGCTTACATCTTGCAGGCAAGAAATTCTGGGGTCATTGACTTTCAGGGTATCATTGTGGCAGTTTCATTTAACTAAGATTATAAAGTGAAATGACCACAAGAGATATATCTAAAAAATAAGAACAATGAAGAGAGAATGATACTGGAAGTAGAGAGATGGAATGAATTAGAATTTGTCTGTGGTTTTTCATGGTAGTGGCTATTACCTTTCCCCACACTCCAGTCTACCATCTTTCTCTACCACCCCAAACAGATGTGATACTAACAACATCTGTGAAAGGTTACAAGGGAGAATTAAAGATTTTAACATGGCATTTCCCACCTCTCAGGGAATTTATTATTGGGTTGCAGAGAAGCACATGGATATATTTTTATTTGTGAAGTACTTGTTCATGAAAAATAAACAAAGAATGTTGATAATACAGGTGAGAATGTGAAGATGGGAAGTCTTTTTTTAAATATAAATTTATTTATGCATGCAAGAGCTGGGGCACAGGCCAGAGATGCGGGGGAGGGGGATGGTGAGAGGATTCACCAGAGACAGAGAGGGGAACAGAACAGGCAAACTGACTGAAATCCACTGCTGAGGGGAGCAGCGGGGGAGACAGGAGAGGTCTGCTGTGGCATGTGGGTTGCTCCCTGGCTGGCCGGGGATTGAACTCGTGCTGCAGAGGCTGGGAATTGTGTCATAGTGCGGTGCTTAACCCCTTGTGCCACCAGGGAGGCCCGAAGATGGGAAGTCTTAAAAGATCAGCATTTAGATGGATGGAGCCACTGGAGAGAAGTTAGTACTATAGACAGGAGAAATTCTGTAACAAAGTAAGGAGGTAAGAAAGTTCAAGATGTAGAGGAAACACTGTAGGTTAGTATACCGAATGTCACATAATACTTGGGACATAGCAAGGGTTTATTATATATTTATGGAATTTAAATGAAGAATAGGAATACAGGGAAATAAGACTGGGAAAGTGGGTAAGGAACCAAATTGTAGAGTGTACACAGCATGCTATTAAGTCTGAACTTGTCTCTACATGCTAGGGAGAACTATGGAAGGTAGAAGAGAATTAAGAAATTTCATTCTTCAAGCAGTTGTTATGTTAGATCTTACCATATGATTTTGAAGGGAAAAAAAGAATTACTAAAATGGGTTATTGAAGTAAAGGGCTTAAATTGCTTCAAAATGTTTTCTCTTTTGGGCCTCTCCTGGTGGCGCAGCGGTTGAGTGCTGGGTTGCGAGGCTGCCCGCAACCTTTGCAGTACCAGTTCGATCCCCGGCCACGGGTGAGGGTCCCACAAAAAAAAAAAAAAAAAAAAAAAAAAAAAAGTTTTCTCTTTTACAACCTACTGCTTGACCTACCCTGACCCTGAAATGTTTCTTTCATAGAGTTTCAGGGCATAATAACCATATCAATTTAAAATTTTCTGAGTTATATTTGTGTTTAGCTTTAAGATCCAAGAGCTAATTACTTAAGGGCATCTCTTTCAATATGATTCACTTATTAAGCATTCAATCATTCAACAAATAAATACATTGCGTATACAATAAAAATATATACCTATAAGAACTAAATAGGTATAGCATACATGTATATACATACATACACACATATATAGCATACATATGTATGTAGCATACACTGTGGCTCAGACTATAAAAACAGAGACTGATACACTTCCTACCCCTTTGAAGATTATACAGTCATGTGTCACTTGGCAACAGAGATACATTGAGAAATGTGTTCATCACTGTGTAAACATCACAGACTATAATTACATAAACCTAGATGATACAGTCTACTGCACACCTAGCCTATAAAGTATAGGCTATCAGCAGCACTAGCTTATAAGCACTTTGTTGCTGACTAAAGTGTCATTAAGCACGCATATCTGTATACATGCATCTAGGAGGCAGAAGTTCCTCCTTGCATAGATTAAGTATTCTTATTTACTGTTATCTGGGAAAGTACACAACTACACATAGGGAGTTTTAGGAAAAGCAGTAAACGTAAATAATAAATTTTCTGAATGTTGTTTCTTTCTTTTTTTTTTTTTAAAGGTTTTATTTTATTTGTACAAGAGCCAGGGTACAGGCCAGATGCGCGGGAGGGTGAGAGGAGTCACCAGAGCCAGAGCAGGGAGCAGAACAGGCAGACTGACAAAATACACTGCCGAGGGGAGCAGCGGGCAAGATAGGAGAGGTCTGCTCGCCATTTATGTTGCTCCGAGGCCGGCGGGGATCAAACTGGCACTACAGAGGCTGTGGACAGCTTTACAGTGCTGCGTTCAACCGCCTGCGCCACAAGGGAGGCCCTGAATGTTGTTTCTTTAACAAAATGTTAGCCTTAAATTGTTAAAATATACCATCCTTCCATTGTGGATTACAAACTATTATTTTACTGCATTTATCAATAGTTCTTTCTTACGTATGAAACATTTGCTTATTCCACCTCTCTATCTTCACAGATGCAATCTACCTTATTTTGCACCTGGCTTGGCTCATTTCACCCATTATATAACCTCAGTGTGGAAGGTGACTATTCTTTTAACAATCCTGCCTCAAAGAACACTAAACATCTTATCTCTAAAGGCTCTACTTTAGAAAGCCAGCGATATACTACAATTCTTTACAAAAGAGTTGCAAATGACAACCAGGTCTCAATCTGGAACCTCCCATGCTCCTGCACACACCCACATATCCCATTTTTTGAACTTGCATTTAACTACAACATTAATTTGGGCCTTTGTTGTCTTCCATTTTTATGCTCATCATTTCAAGAATCCTACTGGTAACATCATAGATTCTCTGCCTAATTCTTGTTTACCAACCTGCTTGTCAAATATCAATTTTGGGTAAAATCTACCATTCAATTATTCCATTCTTTCACTTAGAGTTACCTATATATTGCTGCAGAAAATAATAAAACTAGGCCAATTAATTTCATTATCAATTCATGGAATTCAGTGTTAAGTTTCTCTGACTCCTAACTTTATTCTGCAACCTTTGACTCAGAAAACAGTATTACCTTCAAATTCACTCTGCAGATTCTTTGTGTAAACAATTCTCCTCATCCTTCCTCATCCTTCTTCTGTTCTCAACTTAGTGCCCGCAGTGGGAGTGTAGGGTCTCTTCTATGAGGATTTCAATATATCATCCTCCCCACTCTTCTCTTTCAACTTTTCTTTTTCATGTCTTTTTACCCTACAAATGTAAACAAGTCCCCACAAGCCTGACCCACCACCACCACCCACCAACAAAATTCTTGGTTTTTTTTTTCCCCCAAGATGTTACTTCTTCAAGAGGCAACTTTTTCAAAACCCCATTCCTTTTCATCAAAGTCCTACTCATTTATTAAAGTCTATTCAAAGTTCTTCTTGATAAAATCCAAGAGGCTATTTTTCCCCCGATAGCTTCTTTAGAATATTTTAACACTTTTCTTTATTTGGCTTTTTTTTTTTTTTGGTGAAACAATTTTGTGAGGACTAAATGAGATAATATAGGTAAAAGAAGTCATTACAAATATTACCACATAGCAAAAACCCAGTATTTTTTTTTTTTGGTAGTAAGTACAACTAGCAATTCTTATTGTAGTTATTATTATATTTCTTAGCTGAGTTTCTGACAGGGGTCTACTAATCTAAGCACTTGAAGGGCATGCATGCTACTTATTTTTAAACTATAAAAAAATCTAGGAACACTTAATGTTATGATGACAATACTCCCAAATTAATCTACAGAGTCAGTACAATCCTTATCAAAATTGCAGCTGGATTTTTTTTTTGCAGAAATGGTCATAGTGACCTTAAAATTAATATACAATTACAAAGTTCTTGGAATAACCAAAACAATCATGAAAAAGAAAAACAAAGTTAGAGGATTCACATTTCCTGATTACAAAAGTTGCTATAAAGGTATAATAACTAAGATATGTGGTATTAGGTAAGGACACACATAGGGACCAACATAATAGAATTAAGAATGCAGAATTAAAGTTTTATATATATGGCCAATTGATGTTCAACAATGATAGCAAGAGAAATCAATGGGGAAAGAATACGCTTTTCAACAAATGGTCCCAGCATAGCTGGGATATCTGCAAGCATAAGAATGAGTATGAACAACTATCTAATATCACAGTCAAAAAACTCAAAATGGACCATACATCTAAAAATAATAGCTAAAACTCAGGAGAAAACACCAGTATGATTATGACTCAGTTTTAGGCAATGGTTTCTGTCAAAAGAATAGATGCCAAAAGCATAGCAACCAAAGAAGAAATATACAAGCAATATGAAAAGTTCTGTGTGTCACATGACTTCACTGATAAGTGGTACAAAGGAAACAAAACAAATGAATAAACTAACAAAACAAAAACAAACTTTTAGACTGTAAGACCAAGATTTGTTCTGGGGGTGGGGGGGGGGAATCTAACAAATTTTCAGTATGGCAACTAATTTGCTGACCTCCATAACAGAATGTTTTCTCTCTTTTATTAAAATAAGTTTTTTTTAACCAGAGCAACCTTTTGAAGTTTATATATGTCTCTCTTAGTTTTAACATTTTGCAAATTACAAAATACCATGTATTTATGTAACAAGTGAAATAAAATAAAGAAGCATAATAAAGACAAAAGTAATTCTCATTTTTCATATGTATTTCTACTCCTACCCACCCCCAAAAAACACTGTTAATACAAATGATTTTTATGAGTTCATTTTTTCCTTTGCAAAATTACTACAGATATGATAGTCAAAAGCTTACCTCCAGATATATTGATGGTGGATTATGCTCGCCCCCAAATTTGTCCAGCAGGGCTTCTATATGTTCCTGTGTCAACTTAATCATTTGCTTGATATTCCACACCTAAAAAATATTTTCAAAGAATTTACATAAAAATTATTATTTAAAATATAAATTAGAAACACTTAAATATTTCCATTAAACTTTTGCAGTAACTGCCAGTGTTTCTTGAAATTTTGAGCTTAGGAACCTTAGAGATCATCTAGTATAGTGCTTTTTGCCTTTTATTATTAAACATCTTTAAATTTTTTTATACACTAGTAATAGAACATTTTTTTTCAACCATAACAAATTCATGTAATATTGGTGTAGTCAGAATAAATGATGAAAATCTCTTTTCGCCTTCCCCACCTCTCTGGGCACCATGACAAAAGGTAAGTGCTATTTACAGGTTTGATATGAATCCTTCCACATCTCCTTTTTACTCAAGTGAAAAACATAAACATACACATAGAAAATTAACATACATATAAATATTACATATAAAACATTTTAACATATGTTTTTCACTGAATAATGTATCTCAATTCTTGAATATGCAAATAATATACATATTTTATTTCTGTTAAATAATATAAGCATCATTTAAAGGGTTATATTAAGTACAGATATATTCATTTCATAATATTGTTATGACACTGCTTATTTCAATCAATGGTCTTCAAACTTCAATGGTAACCTGAGTTTTGGTGGACATAGATAATTTCAGAAGAATCAACTTTCAGAACCTCATTGCCTATTTGTACACTTCCTAATTGATCTGCTTAAAAACTAGTTCTTTCTCTTTTTAAAATCACCACTTTGGAATTCTTCACTGTATAACAATAAACCCTCTTTTTCATCTCAAATCCTTCTAAGCACACTGTTCTGAGCTGTATGAACTCCAAAGTATCTAACAAATAAACAAGAGAAGGAGGAAAAATGCCTTGAGAGAAAAGGGAGAAAAATAAAAAGACCTTATTTTATCAGTGAAACAAATTCTTGACAAGGTTCCAAGCCATATCCATCTAACCAGCCAGTCAGCCTAGAATTCCGAAGCCCAGTGGTTATAGTACAAGCACATATTAACATGTTCAGTAGCCAGATTTTTTTTTTCTTGATGAAAAATGAGTCCAAAACATCTGAGCAGTTTGAAAACCTGCTCCAAAAATTACACTATATGGTAGATTCTCTCTATAAATTGAGTGACCTACACCTGTAAAATTAAGGTATGATCAAAAATGTATTTATCGTACACGTACTAGAAATCACGGTCTTGTAAACTACTTAAAATTGTAATGACAAAATGTAAGGTAAATAAATGTACAATGGGGAATAAGTGAGCAAAGGGGTTTCAGGATGCTTTTTTAAAAAATAATGTCCTTAGTGGTGGACATATAGACTATTCTGCAGCACCGGTTCGATCCCCGCTGGCCAGGGAGAATCCCACATGGCAAGGCAGACTTCTCCTGTCTTGCCCGCTGCTCCCCTCAGCAGTGTATTCGTCAGTCTGCCTATTCTGCTCCCCGCGCTGGCTCTGGTGAATTCTCTCACCCTCTTGTGCTTCTGACCTGTACTCCAGTTCTTGTATGCATAAATAAATAAATCTTAAAAAAAAAAAAGTTTCATGAAATATGCCAAATGGTCTTCCAAAAGGAAAGTGTCCTGAGACACAGTCCATCTGCAGGGTAGGAGAGCTTCCTTTCCCCACTATCAACACCAGCACTGGGTATCAGCAAACTTCTAAACTTTTGCCAGTCTGAAAAGGGAAAAGTGATCTTGTGTTAAAGTATATTTACCAGAGCGCTGCGCAGTTGGTTTTTTTGTTTTCTGACAATTCCCTATCCATATTCTTTCTTCCTTTTACTCATCTGTCTTTTCTTACTGACTTATAGGTTAAGACAACCCTTTATTCTGGATCTTGCGGACATTAATCCTTACTCTCTAAATGTTGCAGTCTTTTCCTTGTTTTTCACTTTGTCTCTTTTGTCATATAAAGTCTTGCTACTCAAATTCCTGTTCATAAACAAGCAGCAGCCTAATCTTCTGGAAGTCTGTTAGAGTAGCAGAAATACAGGCCCCACCTGAACCTTACAAATGAGTTATACTGAAGTTCAAAAAGGAGTGATAGATGTTTCAAGTTTTTTTTTTTTCCTACAATCAGATACAACAATAATGTTCTTTATGATCCTTTGCTAATTTCTTATAGACCCTAAAAGTGTTAGGTGTCTTCTTCTCTAGTCATACTTACAATCACAAGATCATCCAATCTTTAGGTTTTATACAGCAAATGTAGACTGATGCATCTCACATTTTGTATCTACCTCTGTCCTCTCAGACTCTTTGTCCTACTGCCTGCTGAACATCTCTAAGATAATTAACAGTCATCTCAAAGTTATTATGTTCAAAGACTAACTTTGGATCTACTTACTCCTCAACCTTAAAAAACTCGTTTTTTTCTATACTCTGTCTCAGAAAATGACAAACAACATACCTTAAAGCTGCTCAAATGAAAACTTTAATGTCATCCTTAAATCTTTTTCTCATCCCTTGACATCTATCTCCAAATCCAAAACACAGAGTCACACAAACACCTTCTTTAACATTAGTAATCTGTTGCTGTAAGTCATCATTATTTCTCCCTTAGTTTATTCCAATAGTCTCTGAAGCGGTTTCTCCTGTTTCACTCACAGAATTGATATAGTAGCTAAAGAAATCTTTTAAAACTACAGTAAAAAAACAAAACAAAATTACAGTTTCAGATGACATGGCATTCTTTTGCTCAAAAGCCTCCAATGGCTTGCCAAGTAAAAAATCACCAGTCCTTAGACAAGTCTACAGGACAATACATGACGTGGCCCTCTGCTCCCTGTCAGTCTTCACCTCTATTATTCCCCTCACTCAACCCCTTTCAATCACATGTGGCCTCACTGAACATACCAAGTTTGCAAACTCCCAACACAGGTTCTTTGCATATTGGTATTTCTTCCTGAGATGCTCTTTCCCCAAGATTCCTACGAGGTTTGCTACCGTACTTTCTTCATTCATGTCCTTTTCCCATGTCGCCCTATCAGTACATTATCTGACCATCTCATTTAGAATGGCAATGACTCCTTAGCTCCCCAAAAGCCCACAAAGTAAGTTTGTATCCTTTCCTAACTTTATTTTCTCCAAAACCCATGACCATCTTAATAGACATAATTTATTTACTTTGATAAAGGTATGTGCCGTCCCCACTCCCAGGAGAATAAAGGCTAGGAGGGGAGGAATGTTGTCTTGTTTTATTTGATATATCCCCAGAGTTTAGTTTATGCTAAACTCCCTAAAATGGAGTTTAGTATAAAGTAAGCATATATATATGTATGGTATGTATGATGAGTTTATTGACCAACCAGAAGGACTTGCTTTATATTCAGAATATAATATCCTAAAATTGATTACGTTTTATCAATTATTAGCTATATTGAGTGCAGAAACATGTTCTATTATCTTTTGTCCCCTCATCACATATCTTGGTACCTTAGTCATAACAGATATTCATTAATACTGGAAAACAAGATTTAACCTCTCTTCAGAATAGGATAGGAGAGAAAAAAAATTAATCCTAGTTCAGTGATTCTTTCTAGTACAGAAAATTAAGAACTCTTATCCACAGCTTTTTTTCTCCCCTTCGAACGTCCATAGCTTAAAAATCCATGTTTAATTAGGGTACAGGGTCAACCCCTCTCCTGGGTTTCCAAGGGGAGGAAGATTAGAGATGGAGCATGAGCAATAGGAAAATGATGAGACTGAGCTTAACAGAATGAAATTTTCTTGCTGGGGAGAAGAAAATGCTAAGAATGGCTAGGTGGAACAGGGCCAGACCATGAATGCCTGGAAGTCAAGCTTCTTATATCCCCAAACAAAAGTAAATCTTACAGCCAAAGAATGAAGAAAAACCATTATGTGCCCTAGTTGGAATTAGAGAACATAAGCCTGGGAGAGAAAATTCTTTCATATTTTCCCCAAAAAGTAAGAACTTTAATGATACTTATTAAATAGAGATATAACAAGAAGTAGAATATGATATTAGAAAACTTAACCGTTGAAACATAGTTTTGGCTTTAAAATGCCTTCTTAGAAAAACAAGAGAATCTGTTACAACAGCCCCCAAAAAGAAATGAAAGAACAAAAGCAAAGAAAGTTAAGATAGGTAGTAGATTTCCTGCCCTGTTTTGATGTCTTTAGTAGAATCCAACAATTAAAACCAGGCAATCTTAGTAAACAATTGATCATTTGACTTTTGACTTTACAAATGGCAAAATTTCTTTCCCAAACAAGACTGGGGATTTTTTAAGTCTCACTCAGAAGACGTCTATGTTAAAATATAAAAGCAGACAAACTGTTAATGGAAGGAATTGAAGGGCAAAGAAGGCACAAAAAACTACAGTCACTGGCTCCTTACCTTCCAATAAAAGGTTATCAGGTCCTGATACCTATTAAACTTTTAAAAGGTTTAAAGGTTTATCAGGATCACCCTGTGAAACCTTTAAAGTATATAATGCCAATTATTAATAGGCAATAGTATATAAAAAGGCAATCTTCCAAATTCATTTTATGACATCAGTAAAATCTACGTCAAAACTTGACAAAGATATTACAAAAATAAATAAATAAAACCATAAAATAGTCTGACCTGTGAGGATAAACACCAAACTTTATCTCTAATGCAAAGGTAGACATCCATTAAGAATCCAGTAACATAACACTGAATATTAATAGCTCAAAGGAGAAAATTATGGAACTAGTCTAGTAGATGCTAAAAAAAAAAAAAAAACACCAAAAAAACCCCCAAATGACTATAATGAAAGGTAAAATTTTTTAAGATTTATTTATTTATGCATACAAAAGCTGGGGTACAGGCCAGAGGTGTGGGGGATGAGAGGATCCACCAGAGACAGAGCAGGGAACAGAACAGGCAGACTGACTGAAATACACTGCTGAGGGGAGCAGCAGGCGACACAGGAGAGATCTGCCTCGCCATGTGGGTTTCTCCCTGGCCAGCTGCAGAGGCTGGGGGATTGCTTCATACTGCAGTACTTAAT